AAGAGATGTTCAACGCGTATTGATCTACTTCTGGCGTTTTTACCTTTTTATAAAAAGATCCAAGCTCAACTAGTGGCACAGTAGGGAATGATCTTCTGGGGTTCATGTTCAGTTCACCGTGATTCATGAGGTACAGGTTGGACATGGCAAGCAATAGATCAGAGGTTCGTTTGACGGGAAGAAAACGACGACGTGGAACGTTTATACCTTCACAAGAAATGAAAAGAAAATTGTTATTCCTGTTATGATAGCGTGACAAAACTGCGACAGAGTAGTCAAGAGAAAAGCAACGAAATAACATGATAAAACCAATGAGAAATGATCGAAAAACGAAAAAAAGGAAGGAAGGAAGGAAGGAAGGAAGGAAGGGAGGAAGGAAGGGAGGAAGGGAGGGAGGGAGGGAGGAAAGAAGGAAGAAAGAAAGAAAGAAAGAAAGTAGAAGCGCAAGGGACGAGCTCGGACTAAAAGTGCGCAACGCAAACAGAGGTCTCGCTTTGCTATTATATTTTTCTTGTCCAATAAATGACTACCGATTTGCCTTACCAATGGCGTTACTAAAGTTCTTCATAGCAGATCCCACAGCAGTCTCTAGCTGGATGACACGCATGCCATCATCAAGAGTCTATAAAAAATAGTCGAGAAAAACACTTACATTATCAGCGTTAACATAAGTGGCTAGTTTAATTTCCGTAGCCACAAGAGGAGACAAAGGCCTAGTGTAAGTGTAAATCTAAGGAATGTAATTGTTAAATGGGAATAATTATACCATTAATAATAAGAGAACTAACTATATATAAATTATTATTATCCTTTTTGTTTGATCTTTTTTCTTGTAATATTATAATTTATATATAATATTTCAACTTACATATCTTTATGATTATTTATAATAATTTCATATGTATAATAAGTGAAAGAAGTAATCATTATAGTCATGACAATGTTGGGTCACATTTGACCCAAAGTTTAGCTAACATTTTGACCCACCATTGTTGGCAGACCAGGACAAATGGTCAAATGTTGGGCTGTTTGTCAGATGCCTAAACTGGAATTTAGAAGATGTGGATTTTTGCAGAGGATAATAACTGAAGCTGAACGCTAATAAAATCCTTGAAGCATAAAAATTCTTACATCAAATATTTTACCTTTTTGTTGACAATAATTTCCATGTCTAGTTGCTTAGCTTCCACAAGTTTTTTCACAGCCTTTAGGTTAATCCAAAGATTGTTGGTGTTGAAAATTCTAAAATTTCAGAAATTTGAAAAATATGAACAGACCATATTGAACAAGGCTTTTTCTTAGTCTTTTTCATGATGTTTCTGAGATTTTCATAAGCTTTTAATAACTGTGCTTTTTTATTGAAAGCTCACCTAAATTTGCTCACAGACTTGAATTCATCAACCTATGAACAAACAAACCTTACAATCAATTTTTTCAAAATAGTAGAATAGATATTGAACATTTTAATGAATATTGGTGCAACAATGATGGTGGTAATGAAGTTAATGATGGTGATGAAGATGGGTGCATGGCAGTGATTATGATGGTGATGACGATGGATGTATGCCTGAGATAGTGATCATGATCATAACTATGATTTTGGTAGTGGTGGGTTGATAAATCAATCAATCAATCAACTTTGATTATAGAGGACCATAGTGGGTGGTAGTTGATAGTGATAATGATGTTGATAATGATGTTGATAGTAGTTATAATGGTTATAGAAATAGTGATGGTGATGGTTATGATAGTGATAATGAAGGTTGTGATGATAATTATTATAGTGCAGTTGTTGGTGGTGTTAATATTGGATAGTTACTATACTTTTGACAAATTTCATAAGCATCTGAACTTACATTCTCCTTGGGAACTTGAGCAATTTCCAAGAGTCTCAAGTGGTTTTCGTAGTCAATCAAGGTACCACCCTATAAAACATATAACATACACCATCAAATGTCATTCAAAACTGTGAGTATTTGACTGACACTTTGACTTTTTGCTTGTCATGAACAAACCTTAACATCAGCTCTAGTTTTGTCAGTGACCTCCATGACAAACTCATGAGTATTATTGGTCTGGTTCATCAAATAATCCAAAATATCTTAAAATGAGTTAAGAATTTAGGAAAAAGAATTCAGAATCAATATAAATGTCAGCAATGGTAAGATACATTAATATCTTCAGGGAAATAAATAATATCAACCAATTTTGTTGGACAGTTTGGATAAAGGAAGGATCAAGGAATGAATGGAAGGAAAGAAGGATGTATGTATGTATGTAGGTAGGTAAGTAGGGAGGGAGGGAGGGAGGGAGGGATGGATGAATGGATGGATGGATTTTGGTAAGAGGATACGGATATCAACAGTTGCCCCCAAGTTGTCGATATTTGCAATAAACATGTATTCTTTCCCATCGTCAATGAATTTCTGCAAGAGGCCAGAGTTGTGAAGGGAATTGTAGATATCTCCATGACCAGGGGGATACCACCTGAAATAATGAATTCAAAATCCATCATTTTCATCATAATTATTCATAAGAATAATCATCACAATCATCACCAAATCATGACTATCATCACCACAATCTTCATCATCATTGCCATCACAGTTATCATAACCATTATCCTAATTCAGCATTATCATCATAATCATCATCATCGACCTTTATTAGCATTTGTAAAAATCAGCAATGACTATCGCCATCATTCATCACCGTCATCACTCATCAACCATCCTTATTCATTACTACAGCACTATCATCATCAATATTCACCATTATCAACATTATCATAAATTATCAGTATCCATTTCCATCATCACTATTATCTGCAGCTCTTAGTCAATAACAGATACACAACATCTATACACATAGAGTATCATACCACATAACTTCATGGCTTAAAATGACAGCTGGGCAGTCACAGGTCATGATCACGGGCCAAATTAGTTTTAGCTCAGTCACACTTTGTTTCTGGCTCAGCATTACTGGACAAACTAACCCAGCAAGGAAATGATTTGACCTGACAAGTTCTAATTCTGGCCAACATTGTCCGATGACTGGCTGTTATTCTAAGCCCTGATTACTATGTACATCTACATACTTCTTTGGATCCTTGTCATATTTAGTAGCCAAAGGCAGCAGAGATTCTGTCACTACTCTTGGGTGACAACTCTGGTTGAATGTATGAATGCTCACATTGCAAGCAGCATATTTGGCCAATGTTTTGACAGTCTCTTCGTGAGTGTTAAAGGAGTTCATCAATACCAAAGGAACTTTGGTTCCATAGGTATTGTTCAAATGCTAGTATGAGGAAAAAATTTAAAGCGTTGATACAGTATATAAAAAGTAGACACTTTTGCAAAGTCTAGATTTTTGTTGTTATTATACATCTTTACAGCACAATGTGCAAAAGTAAGACTGCATTTAATGTATTTGCATATTTCTATGCACAGGTTCCTGTACGTTAAACCGACACATTTTGATGCAAAGTTGGCTGGTTTTGCCAAATAAGGCGTGCAAACGCTCGTTTGGCAGGAAGGAAAAAACCTGTGCATAGAAGTATGCAAATTTCTTAAATGTGGTCATACTTTGCTCGTTGAGCTGTATGTAAATACCTTTCCTAAAATGCATCACGGCAACAACGTTTGATCAGTCTTTAGCATAATATGTATCACTTCCTCTCTAATCAATCACCCCTCCCCCCACCCCCTTAAAGAAACCACAATATGTATTAAGTGGAAATAAGTAAAAATTGCAAATACCCTGTACCTCAATTTGTTGTATGTTGAGATCAAGAAACGTCAGGTCCTGGCAAACTGAAATAAGACTCTTAGTACCAGTGCATCCCATGGTTGTTCCTAGACCACCATTGAGCTTGATGACAACAAGTTTGTCTAGTGCGCTCTTGAYGTCCAAAGTTTTCAACTTGGCTACTTCATCATAGCTGATGATCTTGAAAAATTACCAAGTATGACACAAAGTTTACTAAAGTTAGTGATGTTTTTATAAAAATAAAAAATAAAGATATAAATGCATAATTATGATGCCTCACCGATCCTTGAGGTGGTGGATGAATTTTACTCCAAACAACAGAAGGTCCAGTCTCTCTTAAATATCTTCCAAACAGCTGCTTAAAATCATTCAACTCTTTTTCCACATCCTGTTGATTAAGGAATAGACTTTTTACATTGTAGGGGTTTCCATACAGACTACAGTACATATCAGTAGAGGAAAAATAAAATGGGCAATGTTATATGTTGCAAGAAAGTTATTTTTTGTAGGAGTTTCCATATAGACTACAGTACATATCAATAGAGGAAAAATAAATCACCATTGTCATCATCATCAACATTCCCATCATTTTTTTTCACAAAAATACACATTACAAGCAAAGTCCTGGATTGGATCTAATTTTTTAAATTTAAATCCCATAAAAACTTTATTTTATATTATTATAATGATAATGAGTAAGACTTAGTCATTTATTTTCTTGATAATAGCCATTATATTCTGTTGCTTAACAACAACATTGTACAGAAAATATCTTAATTAGCTTTGCCACTAATTCTATTCAAAAACTGCTACTCATCGTTTGTCTTAGTGGGAGGGGTGAGTGAAAAATTGGTAACTAAACTTGTTAAACTTGTGTATAAGTTCCTGGAGTTTCATACTAATATTTTCTAATCATGTAAACGTTTCAAATGAAGGATTTGAAAGTAAGTTCATTTTAATCAGAGATTGTAGAGCTAGACTGTTTCTTTGAATGACTCTAGCCTAATTAACATCACGAAACCTTCATTTAAACTTATTTCGTTCAAAGGTTTTTATTTTGTTTGACTTCAATACAAAAAGGAAAAATAAAAACGAAAAGTCTCATCTAGTAAGCTCAATATTAATTTTTAGCTAAAAATGTGATTGATAGGAAAAATTTTTTAAGATCTTAGATCAAAGTAAGCCTTGCATGGAAAATCACGCAAACTTGATTGTGTACTAAATGTGAAGGTGCAAAAAATCTGAACAAAGGGACCTTCACACTTTACAAAAAAAAAACTATTATAATTTATGCCTACACTTTTACCTCTCTCTGTTGTCCAGGGACTGTCTCCAGTAGTTTTTTTATCTCAGCATTCATCCGTTCACTGGCATCTTTTCGTGCCAAGCTCTTGAACGCCTCTATGTGAGAAAGATCCTGTATTCCCAGAGGATTTAAGTGGGATTTACAATCAATAACAAACTGAAATGACGATCACGATGATCTTGGGTTATCTATTAAGGGATATAACTTACCATGGTAGTTCTGGAAGACACAGCAATGGAATAAAGTGGAAATCAAAATCGCAAATAAAGATTATTTATTTACGCTTTTGTGAAAGTGCAATGACCTGGCACGCCGCTGACTAGAGAGTACCGCGTGACTATGATATCAGCGGGTATCGAATATTTTAAATGGATTAATGAAAAATTCAAAAAAATATTTCACTTTAAAAGATTAAAAGTTAAAATCTTTCACAGGTTTATTTAAATATAAAATAACGCAAAACATGAGCTATAATGTCTTAATTTAATATTGTTAGGTACCCAGATGTAAGAGAATATGATTTCTCTTAGGTAATCGAGAAAAAATCGAAAACTCTACATAATAATTACGTTTCAGAAAAACGTTTTTGTAAGAAAGATGTTTTTGGTTTCAAATGGATGAACGTTCAATGTACATATGTACCGAAAAATTATTAAAGAATGCGAACATTTCTGCTCTTGGCATCAAACCAGTGGTCCCAGTGAGTGCTATTGAGTGTAGTGTAGCGTTTTTCCTTTACTTTTAAAACCCTTAAGCGTGTTTGCCTTTTTTCTACAACTACCAGAGTACATATGACATTTCCTGGACTGGTGGTGTTTTCAAGCGGGATGGTATAAACGTGGCACGCTGTGTCAACAGAAATACTGAGCTTTGTTCTTTGAAGCATAGATAGATAGATAGATAAGCTTTATTTACCCTCGGTTTTAAAATTTCGAATATGAAAAAAGAAATATTTCAGTTACTGATGTATAGAGATTAGCATAAAATATAATTCCAAACAAACCTGTTCAATATCCTGCAAAGCCATTTTGCATTTGAAGGGAAAGACGTAAGACTAAGCAACCATGTTTATCGTTTAGTCCGGTTCAATGCATGTATTCTAATGCAAATAGTTGGTATTAATTATTTACATATCTTAGCATATTTTGATATGCTCAAAGTTTGTTAGATGATGTCAGTGCTCTATACATCCTATAATAACCGTAGCGATCCGGAAAAGCATTTTAAAATCTTATTATACTGTACTTTTAAGAGACACGATCTATCTTTAGTAAGCATGCTCCCAGCTCAGTTTCTTGACGGGCAGTTTCTGCTGGAAGACGTGAATATAGTACTGCCCCCAAGGAGGGGTAGGGGGGTGGGGGATTGCAGGTGGAAGCAGCGCGCCTTTCTGCCTGCACTTAGAGGTCTTCTGCCCTGAAATGGCTATGACTTTTGGATGATGCCGGGCGCAAAAACTACTATCTCGGTCTATGCTCAGTAAACAGCTTCAAATTTCATTGCGCACACAATCCCAGTTAATGAAAAACCTTTACTTTCCAATCCGCACGACGGTACGCTCGGGAATCAGAGCCATCTTCCCCACGGCGTTTTTTACTTGAGAAGCTAAGTGTGTCGAAATTATACCCCTGCTATCATTCTTCAGCCTTCGAAGCGTCTTCGCTTTTTGACACCCACCATGTGGCTCCGTTATCTCGGACAGCGTAGAATCTCATAGGTACGCATACGGTACCTCGAGCTCAAAACTGCGCGCAAGCCTCCCTTCCCTACTTCCCGGCTAACTAGCTAACACTATCTTTATCAAATATTAAGTTTGTAAAAGAGCTTTTTCCGTCGACTTCAATGTACAGCACATTTATAATGCTGCTAAATTACAATTTTGCCAAAGTTTTATATATCAATCGCAGCCCTCAAAGCAGGCTGGGACATTTGGGTCATTCGTACCCAATCTTCCCATTATGGGAAGGGGCGGATTTTCAAGATGGCGATTTGATCTTCTAAAATTCCAAGTGCCCAGCACAAAGACAGGAAGCCTACACTGTTATGATGTTAAATAGACAAAATAATTAAAGCCATGATCAATAATGGAAACGGGAGAAGATGTGCTAGCTAGTGCAGAATCTACTTCGGGGTCTGATGGAGTATTTAGTAGTGCAAACGAGAGTCATGGTAGCGGGGTCGTGGCTAGTGATACCAGTGAATCACCTGGAAAAAACAGGGCTTCCTCGAAACAGCAAAGAAAAGTCTACTTCCCAGATGACGACAGTTTAGTACACAGCTTGGAACCATTTGATCCTTGGAAAAATGGTGAGTTTTGACTAGGGATAGTGGAGGTATTAATTTTGCAATTTCTTATCGAAATGTAGACTCTCGAGTGGCTAGTAAGTCTTAATGCGTTGTCTATATGATTCATCTTTATCAGTCTTTCAGTAGACTTCCCCTATCGATTTGTACATCCTTTTACATGATAGACCCCATTGGACTGCTTTTGTACATAACACTTCAGCTAAAAGAGCGACGTATTTTTATCAAATTTAAACAACATGTTTCCTGTTTAATTAGAATTTTACTGAGCCAATCTTTCACATTCACCAACAATCTCCCAAATTCATCGTCGATATATCAGTTTTATGATGTTATTTCATACAGTATCTACAGCTAAAGTATCTCTATTTTCTTATWAACGAGGGAAAAAATCTGTCGAGAATTTTTTCTGGTGCCGCTGTGTTTTTATTTTTATTTTTTGCGAAAAAGGATGAGAATGCATCCTGCGGCGAATGCTAAAAAACTGATAAAAATCTATACTCCTATAACGCAGTTTGTAATGGGGGCTAGAATCAATACTGATGATCTGAACCAAAAATGTATCTGCACGTTTATAGGCTTCGTTTTACAGTTATAGCTTGTAAATGAAAAACTGCGTGCCATGTTTTTTCAAGTTAATTGTAGAATGTATTTCCAATCTGGGATTTTGGAATAAAAATGTTTAAGTTCAAAAGATAGGATCATACAACTCGAAACTCAAGATTAGAGTCCATTTTCCATCTAATTCCTTTTCGCTTAAATTTCAATGGGTAAAAAGATGTTCAGATTTAATGCTACTTAGAAAAAATGTTATTTTTTATTTTAATAAAAGAAAACAGTTTCAAAGTTGTTTTAAGATTCTTGTTTACGACCTGTTTGCAAAATAATTCTTCTCAATTATTATGAAAATCACGCTATAGAAATATGGTAATTCTGGCTTCTGAAAATAATTTCTAAATCTCTTATATTTATGATTTTCACTCCTCTTATTTAAAAGAAATGATAAATAGAACTGATTGTCAAAAATAAATGCTAGTACTATTTTTACTGTTGTCAATGATAGATACTTGTGTACAAGAGGCATTTTACTCTGTGATTTTTAATTCTCTAATGTCTATTAAAAGGTTTTTTCTACTTGACTGAAAATGGTAGCTTTTAGATTAGAAAATTATCATATGTATCATATTCATTGAGTCGTTTTATCTTCGCAGTGGGTAACTACACAAGCGAAGAAGTCATTGATGCTTACCGAAGCATCTGTAGTCAACTGAAGGTCAAGCCTTGCGAAAAACTCATTAAGCAGCTTGAGGTAGGCAGAGAGTTTATTATGCCCTTRAATGTGAAGGATATTTAATATAAGATATTCAGTCCAGGGGTCTGATTAGCTTCATCTATAAAAGTGTAAGCTAGCAAAACATACGTGGCCACTTTATATATATTTCCATAATTTTTAAGTATTTTTTATGTACAGCAAAACAACACGATTTCTGTGGTCGCAACTCTTTTTCAACATGCAAACAGAATTTGTCCCTGAAGCATGGAAATAATTAAATCAAAACATGTGTCACAATTCTGATTTACAGCTAAAATATTGATATTAGGATTGGTTTTTGAAAATAAACTTTGCAATATTACACTTTTAGGAGTTTTTAGAACCTCATGATTTCCTGAATTTGCTTGCATGACCATAARACAGTGCTTTCAGAGTCAAGGTCATTTAGACTTGATAAGACAAATTAATGTATATCGTAAATTGAGGATTGGTTAGGCAAACTTAAGCCAATATCCCTCTGGGACTTTTTCGCAATTGCTACATGTGAGGTCCAATATACCTTTAGGTTTTCTGGATCTACTCATTTAAAATATATAGAGACATTAATTTCATCGATAGCCATAGCTTTTGTTATATGTGAAATGAAGCAAGTAATTATTTATAGAAGATGTTACCATACTTTTGCATTTAGATGTCATGTACTGGCAAGTAGTCCCTTTTACCTTGGGCATARTGTTTYCCCATTTCAGGCCACATGTCATTCTCYTGAGAATAAGATTCTTTGTTTGAGTTATATCTATATTCATGTGTCTTCTTGTGCACCACCGTTAAACAWAGCAAAATGGTATTCTAAGGCTAGGAATGACATGTAGTCTGAAATGGAAAAAAATTATGTCTTGTCTTATTGTTATGAGACAAGAGACAAGTGTGAGAGGGGAGGGGAGGGGAGAGAGGTTGAAAGGCATCAGGAAATTTGGGAATTTGAGTGTAATATAAACCAAGGGTAGGGAAAATAAAATAATTCTTAACCTTTTTTAATCTCTTGATCCTTGCTAATTTATCATTTGTTAACTAAAAGTCTTTTCCTCCTGACATGTTTAGGCATGTGAGAGTTTTAAAGAAAGAATTGATGTTATCGATCTTAGAGGTAAGATTAGTAACAAGATATTTAAGCTATATATAAATAGATGTAAGCTGGAAGTAATATAAAACTAGGTTCCAAGGTTTATCTTGATATAAATTTCATGGGTGAATTTAAGGGAAGCCAATGGCTGTGCCCTCTTATAGTTCGGGGTCAATTTTTTGTGTTTTTTTAAGTCCCAAAAATCCCCAGAATGCAGGAAGTAGCAGCTATTTTTGGAGACCATATTTTAAGAATTTCTGTGAGAGCAATAGCCTGCAGATTTCTTCTGGTTTTGATTTCCAAATTTTTTTTGTTTTGTCAGTTCTCAGATTCCTGGATCCTCATTTATAACCAACACTCCCAGTCCTTAAGGGGAGTATCTCTKTGAGGTTTACTCTGCCATATGCACTAACTTAAAATTTACCACTACAATCACTATTTGTAATGTTTGTAATGTTTGATTACTTGATATATTTYTAGGCACAAAGCTTGACTTGAAAAGCTGTGAGACGTTGGAAGAAGTGTTGAGGAAAGTAAGAACAAATACACTAGACCTTGAGAATACCAGTTTAGAAGATGAGGTGAGAATTAAAACAAGTGGAATTGTAGTWATTGAAATGCTACTACTGTATGTAGGATTGAGTTATGCTGTGTATGGTTGTGGTATCTTGGATCAGGGATAGCGTTAACTCAGATTTCATGCATTTTTACGCAAAACTTTGCGACCAAAACATGATTTTCACWTTTTTTGTGTGTGTCTCTGGGCTCACTTCACTTGTGTTATCRAGGGCTTCTACATATTGGCATGCACCCACTTGAATTAGGAATTCCATTGGGCAAGGATAAAAAATCTTAGCTCAATCTCTACTACTGTAGCATTTCTGGGCATTTCTTAGTAAAAATTCGTTACCTGTAAGTGTCCATTTCCTATTGAGTACAAAAAAGTGGTGTATTTATTGGAGGGAAGGGGAGGGAGGGTTGAAATGTTGAGGTGAGCAGGAGGCAATTCAACTTACCCCCACCCCCATGGGAAAWCATGGCAGCCAATATGAAGTATGGATGATTGCAGAAAATACCTAAAAAGACATAGTTTCCTAATGTTCATTTTCATGCACTGTTAATCCAGTTTTCCAGAGAGTATTACTGGTAATGGTGTAATTCTAATGGTATCAATTGTATTCCAGGGAACGTTATCCATTCTGGAAATGGTTGAGTTCTACCATAGTACTTGTAAACTTAACTTAGCATAYAATAATAAGATTAGAGTAAGAGGTTGGCAAGCACTCTCTAGAACRATCAAAAGGGTGAGTAGTAAAGACCACCATGATTGACATATTGAGTCGATTGATTCAGAAATTTTTTCCATGCATTCATGATTTGGGTGGCATATTTCTTTACTATCCTCCCTACTATTACTATTGTTTTTTGAACCAAACCACCTCTAGAACAGTCAAATTAGTGGATGGCTGTCCAATGTGAAGTGTCAACGAATAGCCTGTCAGTATTGTCAGCCTTTGCCTCTTCCACAGGCATCTATTTTTGCTTTGGGGTTTCTTGTTAAATGGGCTATATACCCGTTGTCTGTAACCATCCTCTCTCCAATCCCCTTCTCCARTATCACACAGGGGTAACAAGCATCAAAGAAAGTTAAAGAAGAGAAAGGGGAATTCTTGCTGAGGAGGCAACAGTATTGCCTCTTTTATAAAACGTATTATAATGTTATGTTTTTTCTTTTGTGTTTAGACACCATGTTTAGAATACTTAGATGTCCGTCATACTGTCTGGACAGAACAATCTATTCCATTTCTTGGCCGTTCACTTAGACTTAATTGCCCACTGACGATATTACACATGGAGGCTACAAACCTCTCCGGACGTCCTTTATTTTTACTTGGTAAGATGCGGCTCAGTATTCTATATCTACTGTCACTCCCTGTCTATCCAAGTGGTATATAACATAGTTAATTTTTTTAGCATTGAAGTATTTAAACATCAATAGGAGTCCAGATCTTTTCAAATATTATCATAGTTTCTAGAGAATAGAATTTCATTTGCAGCGATTTCCTTGTTTAATATTTTTCAATTTTTATTATTGATCAATATTTTCTAAATTCTCATCAATAATTTTCCCCAATAAAGATCCCCCCTATTTTCTCCATACCCCCACATCCTAAAGAACCCAGGGGTGAAGTTCTGTCACTTTTTTCTCGCTCTCTRAAAAAATACTCTSGGCAYGAAGTCTGTTAGAGCTTGTTCCACGGGTATTTTTTCTGGGAGCAAGAATAGAGTGACAGAATTTTACTCCTGGTATCCCAAGGATTCATGCCCCCAAGGTTGGGAAGAAGAAACCAGTTAACTGATCATTTTTATTTTATCATTTGTTGACAGCTAATGCAATTAAAAGTAATCAAAATCTTAGAGACCTCTTTCTTGGCGACAATAAACTGGTCCCTTCAGATGGACAGTGTATAGGAGCCATGTTGAAGGGTAATGAGATGTTAAGGTTATTGGATTTGAGGAACAATTCTTTGCAGGTATGAGACACTGTTTAGTCAAATCAAATCCAGGCTTTTTTGCTGGTCCAAATGCTTTGTCTTTACTCTACATTGTGATTATKCTATAAATATTTCTGTTGCTCCAAATTCTCTGTCACTCACAGTTATCACAGTTAGTTAATTTTAGTAAAGCAAGATTTCTCCTGGCATGGCATTTTATTTTATCATTTAGCAGTTCAAAATTGTTTGTGCCTTCCAGTAGTAATTTTGACCTGCACTTTGGCCATGAGGCTGTTATTTCCAGCCCTGAAAGAGGTCTATTAAGCTTAAMAATTATTAAGGAATGGTCAATGCTTAGTATGCATATATGCAGTTCTRTATGCATGCGGGAGGCTGCTTAGCATGAAAGAGTTGCATGAGGTGTAACTGAGTGCAACTCTAGCTTCTTGATTGCTTAAGCAACCTCCCAAGTGCATCCAGAACTGGATATATGCACAACTTAGCATTGACCATTGCGTTTATAACATAGCAAAACAAAAAAAACTGTTTATCGGACAAAAAAGTTCTAATGAAATCTTCATTACTTAGCCCATGCTACTCATTCACATCAGCACGCACCATCCATTTCTGGATGCACTTTCGCRCATGCTAATTAACCAAAAAGAGGGTGTGTTATATTGTGGCTATGTTATAATAACCAGTTTAACCAGTTACCAGCWAGTATTTTGTTGTTTGATTCAAGGACATGGGACTTGGATATATATGTGAAGGGCTGGTACATCAGACACAAGGAGGGCTGCAAACATTAGTACTTTGGAATAATCAATTGACCTTTCATGGCATGGTAAATCTTGGAGCTGCATTGGTAAGCATTTTGTATTCTAGTACACCTTGAAAAATATATACACTTATTTAAAAAAACGTTGTCAGTTGGATATCTGAAATCAGAAATCTGAGATYGTTTGGAATTGTGGGGGACTGAGTGTTTTCTCATTAAAAATTTAATATACACTTACCCAGATAGTTTGCTAGCGCAGGTCATYGCTCAAAGTTGATATATCAAGATATTAACTTTTTGCGAACTAATTATTAAAACCACAAACAATTTACAGCTTACAACCCACAATTCCTTTCGGTCTAAGATTTCAGATCTCTGACCAACAACGTTTTTTGAAATAGGTGTATAAACTYATATTGTAACTTAAAACAGAAAAATATAGAAAAAATTTGGTTACAGTAGCCTGTGAATGAGGGCCAGTGGCAAAACAGCTRAACGTGATTGGCTGAAACAAAATTCACAACTCAGCTGGCTTGCTTGATAGGTTCAGTAAAAGGGGCTGGTTTTGTTATGTGGTTGTTGAACACAAGACTTACAACCACACCCTATGAAAATATTATTATTGCAGTAACTGTGAAAGTAGCCTGATTAGAGGCTCAAGCAGAGGTAGCTTCCTTTCCTGCTCGTCCTCACCCTTCCCTTCTAGCTGCTACACAAGCTACTGCAAAAGTGACCTCATGCTCCACCAGGAGTTCTGCACTGTTCCCAAGAACGCTTAACCTGATTTTTATATAGTAATTCAATCATCTCTGCAGGTTCCACTCAAAAGTCTTCAAACTTTAAACCTTGGTCACAACAGACTTACGAATGAAGGCATTCACATGCTAAAGGATGGCTTACATTTAAATAAATCTTTACAGAGGCTTGGATTACTTAACACTAGGCTGACCAGTGAAGGTAAATCAATCATTATTCCTTATTATATTTGAGTATGATATTATGCCAAGACTTAGTGCTATATAAAYGCTAGAGTATCCTCTGTTGCACCCCTTTTTCAACAACTAAAATAATGGAAATGTAGAACAACATAGTATAACAAAAAGACCTAAGAATTTGCATGCATGCAGAAAATTGCTCCTAGAATAAATTGCACCTAGAATAAAGTAGTCACTAGTCTTTCCCCTTTTAGACATGTTGATGTAATAACCTTCTGCTGTTGTCCCTAGCAATTAACTCTTATGGCTTAAACTTATGTCTCAAAAATTGTTTCTTACTCAAGTAATAAGGGTTGTATTGCTATTATCATAAAAGTAGTATTCATTATTTACACACTTCCTTAGATCCACTTCTAGAATGCCACCGACATATAACAGCTGTCACATGCGTGTGTCTGTCTGTCGGTGTGTCTTAAAGGCATTCAACAGCTTTACCGCTGCATATTGGAAGTGCATGAGTCATAGGTGTGTGAGATCAGTACACCTCTTGTWAGGCTCATCAGGTCTTTGGCATGCTCTTCTCTTAAGTTGTTCTCAGGGGCTTCTTTTGAGGATTTGCTGTTTGTTGCTCTAGACTCAGCTTACCAAGGGACAAATATACCCAACGTAGTTTGACTACCCATGTGTTCTCGTTTATGTTTGGCTTGTCCTTATTATTCTGATGACAGTGCTTTCAACCAATCTTTTGATTTAGCAAATTTCATATTTATTTTCAAGGAGAACACCTTATACTAACCATCTCTCATGACTGTAATTTGCATAAAGAAGCAATCTGACATTAATTTTACAACTCAATGTAAAGCACCTTTGATTATATTTATGTAGATGGGGTGCTATATAAATCATAAATCATCATCAACTCTGATAGCCAACTTTGTATTCTAAACCATTCAGGAATAATCGCTCTAGCTGAGGTTATTGCAGACAGTAAAACAATGTTACGGCTGGACATCCGTGAGAATGATCCATATGTGGGCGGTCTGATGGCCTTGGCTCTCTCCTTAAAAATGAACTATAGTCTTGTTCGGATAGATTTGGATAAAGAACTTAAGAAAGAACCGGTAAGTAATATCATTTAAAACAGGGGTTTCAAGGTTAGGCTTGTGTAGTGTGAATTTGGATCTTATGGGTTAAGATGACACAGAGCTCAATACCAGCACTTTTACAAAGGTTGTACCAGGAATTACAAAACGTTGTACCAGCAATTTGAGAAAAAGTGGGGTGACTGTTACTAACAATATACCTAAGATATTTCAGCAAAAGGGGGATGTCAAGTCACCCCTTTTACCACCCCTATAATACTGCAAGTCTTTAATAATCTTCACTAAACGGGGGATACTGAGAGTCCAGTCCACTCTTCCTGTATATTCCAGTGTGATGTTACTATTCTTATGACGTCAGAAATGATGTCACATTAAAGATTCTTCTTTAAAACAACATGACATGTTGTTCCTATAACATATTAGAGTTTGTTTCATTTTTTTTTTTTTTTGATTTCCAGCATAGTTGGTTTCCAGGTTGAAGTTTATATTATGGCCTTACTGTGATTTTATTTTTCTCCAATATTCTAATAGGGTATGGAAACCACTCAACGTATATTATTAGCTGATATTTATAGTTATTGCCAACGTAATAAAGCTCTCACCGAAGGGAAGAGTCAACAGTCTTCTGTCATGCCAGGTGTCACACCAAGTGTCACACCAAGTGTCACACCAGGTGTTACATCAGGTATCACACAGGGTGTCACCACAGGTGCCACTCAAACTGATAGTGGAGCTGCAACCAATGAACGTTCATCTGCAGAAACTCCTTGTACGTCAAATGATCAACCCCTTATACAACTGGACAATGCTCCTAATAGGAAAGAGGAACATAATATGATATCCAAAAATTCCTATCCAATGCCTTCACGATTTAGGATAACCAGGATCTATGAGGGGTCTGATGCTGTGATTCCTGAAACATCTAGTGGAGAAAACAGCTCCGGTTCTGAAGGAGAAGGATTGTTAGTAGAAATTGAACCTAGTTCTCCAGCAGGGATCTCTAGCAACCTTGAGAATTTAGAACTCTTTGACTTGGAGTCTGATTCATCGAGTTCACAAGATACAGACTCAGACAGCAAGTTGGATAATTTACCCACTTGTGGAAGTAAAGAAAGTGTTGATTCTATGGGGACCCCTTTTGAGAGGCCTACTGGTGTGCCTGACAGGGGTGGGGTGGATGATTGTGGTTTCAGAAGCAAGGACAGCGTTGATTCAATGGGGACGCCAACCTCAAGGCCTCAGGAACCTATCGCAGGTAAGAAAGTCAATGATAGTAATCGTATAACCTTCTGATACCTTCCCATTCTTGTTGACAGTTTTTTATTCGCGGCTGATGATGAGAAGGGATCATGGTCTTATAACCCCCCCCCCTCCCTCCACACCACATTTAAGAGTACATATATATGTGTATCTTTTCTGTTCATTTAGCTTTGATGCAGGACCATCCTGCTCATGACTTTGAGCGTGAGTTGGATGCCATGTTAGCCAGTGTGAACAATAGCCAACAACAGGCCAATGACAATGGTAAGAAAACTCAACCTTTATTCGTTTGCACAGTATCTTTTCCTTTACTTTTGTTCAATTCACTATTGTATTTACAACAATTTTTCAGTGCAGTATCTGTCATGGACCATGTGAACACAGGATTCCCCCATATTGAATAATTTAGTTGAAACTTGTCTCTTGCTCCTGTGTTTCTCAGTACCAAGAAACAAGAGCACTGATTAGGAATGCATTTACTGCTATGTTCATAAACATGCAAACTCTTTAGCTACCACCAATCAAAAAATATGAAAGGTATTGACTGATTACTTTTATTGACGGCAGCGAGTTTATAAAAATGGCAGTAACTAACTCCGTGTGTTTCGATTTTGTGCAGAATTTTGGTTCCAACAGATGGATGGCATTTATAACAACTCCAATAATACTAACAGTAATAGTCTTCCTACCAACCCACCCACAGGAGATCTACTGGGCTCCTAGGACTGGCTCACTAACAGAAAAGAAAAGATAAGTCAGTCAAGATAGACACAGGAAGCCCAGGTAAATAGAAAGGAGAATAATTTCAAAACAAATCAAAAAAAGGTCTGAGTTGCGTTTTGGTATTATATTCCTTTCTATTTTATCTTATGGGCATGAAAGAAACAAAATAAATGACAATGGCTAGATTTTGTACTTTTGTTGGAAAAAAAAAGAAAGAAAATTTCAATAGTCTGCAATCCTCTTTATTTTTTGGCCATTTATTTTGATTTTAATTACGAATCATAGAATATCTCTTTCAAAAGTAGATTAGAATGATCTATAACGATATGGAAATGATGTGTAGTTTGGTTTCTAGAGCCGTCGTACCTTTTGGTCAGCTGCGTCCCAATAAAAATATAGTTTTCTTAATGCACACCAGAATCCATAGTCAACAATCTGTAATTCTTTGATTGATCAATGTTATATATGGTTCCTCTGGTTACCTATCATTCTAGTGCCTTTAGTTTTTTGAACGGAGACCAAAATGACCGCGGGCTCTGGTTTTCATGTGACTTCATAGCTGCCATTTTTCTTTTTTTTTTTTTTTGAGTTTAAAAAGAGAGCTCTCTCTGTTATATCAACCAGCATGACAGCCATGTCTTCTTTTCATTCACGTGCCAAGCAGCAATAGGCATAACAATAGCTTTTACATTTGAATGATTCGTTTCAATGAAGTACTCTCTGGGAGAATCCAGAGCCACAATTCTAAGATTACTGTAAAAATACGAATAATAATTATATCATAATGAAGAATTTTATTACGTGTAATAATACACTTGTAAACGAGAAAGACGCCAACTTTGAAAAAATGTACTTTTGTAACAATTTAAAACTTTCTTAATGGTGATTTTTGATGCTTTATTTACATTACTACTGAGGGGAAATTAACTTTTCCCCTTGCGTTAGACGACTTGCTGTAGGAATGCATCAACCATTCTTCATTCCGCTTTCTCATACCCTCACTCCAGATTTGTTGAGAAAAAAATTGGATCGAGTTGGCATTGCAACGCATTGTAGGACTGTTTTAGGGGACGAATTACACGGCATATTGAAATATGACCCCTAAGACAGTCTCACAATGCATCATCCTCGGAATAGATACGCAACCATTTCAGTGTAGCTAGAATGCTGTAGTTGTCCCTTCAAATGGCTTCCCATCCAAACAAGCATTAAAAGTACAAAAAAGTTTCCTCGTATTTGATTGGTTAAAAAGGGAAGTCATTTGAGAGTCAGGGCTAGAATGTAAGCTTTGAAGAGACTAATTAGGGAGAGAGCTCACCAATTTGTGCTACAATTTCTGCATCAAGTCGTGTAGCGTGTGCGCGAAAAGCGCTTAATCCGTATGCGATAAAATTTGAAAACTCTCAGTTGATCTGAATGAGTTTAAGCATCGCATTGTTCTTTCGAACGCGGCAGCCATGTTGGCTGGAACAATCGATCTTTGCCCGAGTTTGCACAGGCAGAAACAAAGGGTATCAAAAATTGTGGAAATAAACATGGCTGCTGCGCAGTGACAAAGGTCTAATAAAAGATATTTACAAATACGTCACGTGACTATTTTCGCCGCAATTGAATGAAAGTAGTCCAAGGTGGTGGGCAGTGATAACGTGACCTGTTATCGTATAAAACCAATAGATGTCTGCTTGGTTTCACTAGCGATGCAACCACGGGCGCAAACAAGGCAACGACATTTTCTTTTTCGTTGATGRAAGCGTGACTTAGCCTCCTTTGCAGCCGTTCTTAGGGTCGTCACGCCACGGCTGTAAAGGAGGCTAGCGTGACATGAGCGCAACGAAAATGAAAACGAAAGGTCACTGTGATTGCTTCGCTACTAAAATTAGGATTTTACTGATTCTTACGCAATACAAAACGCAAAAAAAGTAGTTCATCTGCTACCCTGGGTTCCAGAGGCTCTCTCGCTCCAGTGCTTCTCTGAGAACTACGACCGACAAGCACTGGAGCGAGAGAGCATCTTTTGCATGCGGGATACGTGTTTCGATCCCAGAGGAAATAAAGCCAGGTACAGTAGATAGTTCTCTTACTTTTCCAGTAGAAATTTAATCTTTCTATATTTAGTTAAAAACTTACCTAGTTCAGTTATAAAAGAAATGCTGTAGGCAAGTATGTATCACTTGCGCAGAATTCATAAACTGCTGTGTTTAGATGTTACTTAGAAAAGTTTTTAGAACAACTTGTGAATTGTTAAATAGGCTATTTACAAATGTAAAATATATTTCGTATTATGCGGGAGATGTTTTTTCAGCAGTTTGTTCAGTACGTTTGATGTGTCTGGACAGGGGCAGATCAAGCATTATTCTTAACGGGGTTTCATGGCAATGAAAGCCGCGAAAGTAATGCCTAATTCTAGTTAGCCATCATTTTCTCGCTGTCAGCCAGCAGAGCCATTATTCTCATTTGGGGGGGGGGGGGGTTGTAACAGCTTCGTTAACAGTATGACAAGACATATCAAGCTCAAAGCACCTTTATTACAAACATAACCCATGGTTTTTAAGCAGTAAAGCCCGTTTTAAGGTGAAAAGGCTCGTCACCGCATGCACAGTTGACTGCTTTTACAAGTATTCTTAATCTTGAAATAAATAATTTTTTATCTCAGGGACCACTCCTATTAGGCGCTAAATGGAGTTCCCTCGGGCTGCCTCACTAGGTCAAGCAATATTGCCAGCGTAACAGCGCCTTACGAGTACATTTTTGTCCGAGTGTTTGCTTCACGAGACGTCTTCAGATTTTGATTCTGATAACACAGGAAGCCCAGAACATAACAAGGGAAGATAGAAAGTCCATATCAAGGAAACAAAATAAGAGTCACATCATTCCCATTATAATGTACTGTTACCATGATAAAACATACGTTCCATCAGAACGATAAAATAAAGATGACTTTCATAGCATCCAATCAAAGAGGGGCTTCATTTCACCCCTCACCAGAAAAATATTAGTTTATGGTCCCTAGTTTCCAGTCCCCCTCCAAGAGGGCACAAGCATAAATTATTTTTGAATATTTTTAATTCCAACAGAAAGAATAGTTTATTTAGAAAAAGTTCGTGACGTGACGGTTTGTGCGAGATGCTACTAATACAGTCGAACCACTTGAACAGCATTATCTTGATTACAGCACAAGTACGTCTTTGAAGTTGTTCATACGGAACAAAATTAAGGACCAAAATAAATTTATAAAAATTCAATTGCCCCACCACNCCCCCCACCCCAAAGTCCCTCTTGCACAAGGCAATTTTTCTTGCGACTAGCAATTAATGCTGACGAAAGCAGAGCATTGCAAGTTGTAGGTGAGAGGTCAGACGCGCACAACTTGAAACGCAACGCTTTCTTGGTCTGTGATAAAACCGGATCGTCAGCGGGATATGGAAGAGTTGTGCTCTGAATGGTCATTTACGACAGTGATTGCACTGCAGCTTGCGGGGAAGATGGTACACGCTGCAACTTGCTTTGCACTGTTGCGAAAAGTAGAAGCTCTTTCAACTCTGCTTTCTGCTGCTTGCAACATTGCATTGCACGTTGCAGAGACATAGTGTTGCACGCACAATCTATTCTGTAACTTGTTTTCGCCTCGCAAGCTGCAAGAAGAACTGCGTTGTGTAACAGGGCCTTAAGTGACCGTTTTATCTAGTTATTTATCTTCCAGATGAAGAATTGTTCCCATTATCATCCATTGGGTCAGGCGATAGTCTCCTGTAAGTGTTTTTACTCCCGCTTGGTGCGACCGCTTCACGAACCGCATCACCCTTCGAAGGTAACAAGTCCTGCTCGTCATCGTCCTTGAGGAAAGGCTGATGACAGGAAAAGAGCATGCCGGGATGATCATCCGGGACCTTGGCACATAACTCTAATATCAGAATCAAGAAGGCGATTCCAATGACGAAGAAAAACACACTGCAGACTTTGTAAAAGGCGCGAAAACTGCTCTTCTGCCAGTACGAGTCGTCGCCAGGGACAAAGTCGCCAAGGCCTATGGTTGTCAAGGAGATGAAGCAAAAGTAAAATGCTTCAAAATAGCTCCAGCCCTGGAGTTTAGAATAAAAGATGGCAGGCACAAACATAACGATAAGGAGAATTACTAGCATGATGATAGACAAATGGAACATGCGCATATACCCGAGAGGGACACCACGTACAGCGCATGAGCGAGAGAGCAGCTCTTGAATGGCTTCTGCAACAATGAGAAGACGTTCCACAATGGCTGTCAGTAGGATTGCGGTCATCGGGATTCCAAACAAGGCGTAAACGATGCAGAAGGTTTTGCCTCCACTTGAAAGCGGCGCGATGTTTCCATAACCTGAAGAACGAGTGAAAAACCGGCACAGAATTCATTAATGATATTTCAGTCTGCATGCGTTGCTAATGGTCAGCAGGCTCTGTGGTCGACATTGAATCGAGCAAATTTTACATCTACTTTTTCGTTTTGTTTAATTTTTTAAAGTGTTTTCTTAATTTGTTTTTGTCCAATTACTCTTGAAATACAAATTAGTCTTGCAGACATAAAAACTTTCATTCCAATAATTGTTCATTTTCTTTCGCTACTGATTTAATAGACAAAAACTTTAAGTGCAAAACTAAAACAAATTAAGAGCAAATATTTCTCTCTCCGAAATAAGATTTTAAGAGCAAATGGTTTCTAATTTTAAAGCAAGAATAACCGTAGCCACTGTAATGATTCCTGACATCGTCACAACACATGAGTAGAGTTTGTTAGGTCCCTCCCTTTGAGTTATTGGGTTTTCTCCGGTTTCTACGATATTCCTCCCTCTGCAAAACACACTGAAGTCCAATTCAATCTGTGAGTTAGCCGTGCATGACTTTAATCAACCTAGACATCGTTTCAGGTTATCGATAAAATTTGAAAAAATGATGGATAAAAATTCGATCGTTGGAAATATATCGTGTGTACGATTCCGACAACAGAGAAATGGGTTGCGCAATTAATATTCACTTTATGATTTTCTTTCTCGACAATCATTTTCCAATTTGAGAATGCTTTGAATTTTTGAGAATGTTGTCGTTAAGGCGTTGGCTAACTGAGAGAATTAATCGATTTGATTTCAATCCACCACCAGTCAAACCACCTGCTATAAGCGGCGCGCTCAACACCAAACATCACTATATAACCGCGATCAAAAACTAAACAACTATAACGCTATTCTATATCTATAGCTCTATAAGGTTGTTGCCTGGACGTTTCTTGTCAAAAGGATCCTGTATAAATACTTGTCCTTTTTAACCATAGGTTAAGGAGAGATTCACTCAATTCTGCCAAAGGAATTAAATCCAAAGAAAAAACTGGGCGTACAGTTGTATATTGGAAGGAAATTAGTTCGCGTTTAAGCTTCCTCATTTCAAATCTCACAGCTTGAAAGTCCGGAGTTAAGTAGTTGTTGTACTGTACGACAGCTACACAAGTGATATATCTAGCCTGAAGTTAAGCTTATAGAATATACATTTTACCAGAAGAGCAGGCAGGTAACTCCCAAGCGCACAAATTTTGCAAAAATATATAAGAATCGTGAATTTTCTTTCATCACTATTGTTATAGACTACTTAAACGTACAAGGAAGTTAGAAATATGTGCAAATATGATAAGCTTTTCCTACAGTCTTGCTAAGTTGATTTCCTCAGAGTCTTTTTTAATGGTTTTTGCAATAACAATTGTCAGTTTTGACAATTACGAGTATACACAACAAATTCTCACAATTGTCACGAAATGAAAAATTAAAGTAACGCAAGGGAGAAAGCTGCCATCATAAATAATGCCAAAATATTGTACAGTATACCTTTTTAGCTTTCTGTGCTTCTTCCTTTTTTCGACGACCCTAACTGACAACCTAGAACCGTAGCTTAAAATTCCACAATGTTTGAACCGGCTTCCTCGATAAATTTCGATAAATTTTACATTTTCCTGTTTTCCCGTGGGCGATCCGTGGGCGATTTCTCATTTTTATTTTTCATTAAAAAATGGAAATGAATTTTTGCCCTATTGCAGAGGTTTACGATCTAGACAAATAAAGCTTTTTTTTATTGAAAGGGATTTTTTAAAAGCGTTTGATAGAAATGATTTTGTCCCGGTTCTGTGTATAAATCACTATCGATATCAAACAATTTTTACTTTTGAAGTCAGTACAGAAAAATATCTTTGACTTTTCGACACCAAGATATCTAAACTGTCGACGAAATTGCAGAAATATTATCTTAGCATTTTGAGTAAACGATTTTCGTTTATATATTTGTACTTTTGTTCGTTAAAATATCCACGCTGGAATGCTTGATTTCACTTTCTGATACGCTGTATCAAAAACAATGCGGAAAAATTCTCTGAAGTTAAGTAAATAAATGTTAGTTCAAAGGCTGAGTTGTTTTCTCGAGCGCTCACTTAGAATTAGACTACGAACAGAAATATAAATGGAACGGGCATYGAAGAAAGAAAGTTCTGTCTTAATTATTGTATGAAAATACAATACGCCAGCTGTTGCCGATGATATGCATACTTGTACCTCAATCTTTCTCGCTTATTAGTATACCTAGAATTTTTATATTACATTAACTGTTCCCCGATGATTTGCCAGTCTTTAAACCATAATTTTCTACCTACCTATAGTGGTTATAACAGCTCCAGCGAAGAAAAAAGCGCTTCCAAACTCCCAGATCGGAACAGTGACATTTCGAAAAGGAGAGATGCCCTGATCTCGTGCAGAAACGACAACCTTGATAAGCTCTTCCAAGTCTATGTCATTCACACAGGGATTTTTCGCCAGAAAAGCGTCCCTTTTGTCTTTAACGTTCTGTACCACTCGATTTTCAAAAGGCGTTTCGATCGAGGAAAAAATCGCGGCTCCGATTGCGAGGTAGAAAATGTAAACGATGATCAGGACGAGAAATCGTAGATTACCTCTCTCCATCTGGGCATCAGAGTCGCATCAAAGGTTATCCAAGCGTTTTAAAATGTACATCCTATACTTTCCTTAAGTTCTAGTGAAAATGATTTTGGTTTTAAAGAATCTGTGAACATTAAGACGAGATTTTCTTCCCTAAGAAGAACGCCCTCCCAACGGCTGGAAGAAAAACCCAATCTTGTACTATGCAAATCACCGCTAAAAATACCGACTCAACGAGTACAATCGACTGCTAGTAGAATATTTAGCGCGGGCAGAAAACCCTTCACTGGTGGCATTGCCATGGTGATTGATGACCCTTTCAAACATTTCCAAAGTGGAAAACAAAGATACAGTCAACAGGAATATTGAAATTAGGGATGTATTTTGGGTTTTATTTGAACAGACAAAAAAATACTCACTTGAATTGAGGCCACGAACTATCGATACGGGTAGTAAACTAAACCCTGAGTTTCATACAAATAAGTTAAGAGACAACTTCATGATTTTCGTGCATTTTTTAAATTAAAATTTCTATGTAATCACTTAGTCGCCAAGGTGAGAAAAGTCCTAAAAATCTCATTTTAGTTCGTCATTTTAATCCAGCAGTCGGCAGTGATTAAACCTAAAACTCGTAAAAATATCATCTGTTTATTTTTTGTAAACGAGCTAAATTTGATTCGAGTAAATATAACAACCGGCTATAAAATGACATTGATTTATGTTATAGTTATGTCGTATTCAGTTCGTGCTTTTAAATACTTTGCCTTTTTTTGAGTTGAGATTTTCGCTAAAATAGGCCCTCAGAAAAACAAAAAATATCTCTAATTTAGGAGACTTTGCGTCGTCATTGACATGACGCTCTTCAATATTTCTAACCGCGCGTTTTTCGTCCCACTTCGATGCTTTAATTTCTTTCAGAGTTAGAGGAAGACGCCTTTGCATTGTGTCGTGATTTTTCATGCGGAAATAAGCCCTCAGAAACGCCAAACATTATCCATTCTAATTTAGAAGACTATGCGGCGTGGTCATTGACATGACGCTCTTAAATATTCAATGTTCAACGAACCGCGCGTTTTTCGTCCCACTTCGATGAAATCTTTCTTTCCGGATTTAGAGAGTTTTTTCAATCTTTTGTCTTTTGGTCTTTTTTGTTCAAACTTCTATCGTTAGCGCAAGGCCTTAGCTTCCAGAAATTCCTTGGGGGAGGGGAAGGTGAGTTGTAAAGGCGAACACTTGGCTTGCAAGTTGATATGTTTTGATGCTCGTAAAACCCTTTCTTTTGACGCCAAACCAAAACAAATTACACCATTGATACCTATTTCACTTGCTCTTTTAGAATTTGGTAGTTTTTGCCTCAAAATCCAAAATGTTGGAAAATCMCAACCTGGATTGACTGCATGGATCGGACTTTTCTTAGGTGGAGTGTGGGAATGWAGAAATWTTTTTTTTCAGTATTTCAACTCAAAATCTTGCTGTAAAGTCTAACATTRCTTGCAAAACTACATTGACGAAGTTATTTTTAGAAATCGATCAATAATATAGCTTTTATGAGAAGGAAACGRTAAAGGGAACTCAGTGATAATCTGTTCATTTATTCCACTTATTTTGCCATTTCTTTTCTTCTTTATCAAGTAGGAAATCAAAAAGACGTTTGAAAATCCCTTACTCGTGGTCATGCCAGATAACAATCTAAAACAGAAAATAGAGAAGCGTACTGTTACCATCATACCTTAAAGGTAAACATAAAGTCTTTCATCTGAAAGGGATTGATCTTCTATCCCCGCATCAATGCTATTCAAGTGAAAACAGGAAAGGTGAGTAGTGATATTTATATGTGTTGAAAAAATATATGACAAAAAATATGTTTTACTATTTACTATTTGAAAGTATGGACTACCTGTGGTGCGACGAATTTCAACATACCACAGGGATCCCAAACCCCCTTCTCCACTCGGTTCAACTTAAAAACCAGATTGTGACTTTACGCCTTTAGACTGGCCCATTATTAATAGGAAGTTATATGGTTTGTTATAAATAGTAGTGTAATAGACGAATATGGCTTAGAAGTTGAAAAGGTCCTTTCCTTGGATGTGAACTAAGCATGAGCCAATGAAAGAGCTATTTTTTCACATCCATTCAAATGACCTTTTCTAACTTCAAAAAATTAAAAATATTTTAKTCAACTTAAAACAAAAGTAATATACTAAATGAAATAGTATTAAGAAACGTTATGGATGAATATGGCGTAACAGTTGAAAAGGATCCTCAAAGGTCCTTTCACTGGATGTGAACTAAGTATGAGACCATGAGGGTGAGACTTTTTCACATCTATTGAAGGGACCCTCCTTTTCCGAACGGAAAACTTATAAATATTTTGGTCAACTTGACTGACAAAAGAAACAAATCTATGAAATGAAAGAGGTAAAACAAACGTTATTGGATGAATATCGTTGAACAGTTGATTAGGAATTTCAAAGGTCCTTTCACTGGATGTGAACTAAGCATGTGCCAATGAGGGTGAGACTTTTTGACATCTATTTTGAAGGGACCCCTTTTCCGAACGGAAAACTTATAAATATTTTGGTCAACTCGACCGTGACAAAAGAAACAAATCTATAAAATAAGAGGTCAAACAAAAGTTATTGGATGAATATCGTTCAACATTTGATTAGGGAATTTCAAAGGTCCTTTCACTGGATGTGAACTAAGTATGAGACCACGTGAGTGAGACTTTTTCACATCGATTGAAGGGACCTTTTTCAACAAGTCGAGAAGTTATATATTTTGTTCAACTCAAAACGAAACAATTAGTAAATATTATAAATAAAGATTTAAAAAGCTAATGGAAGAGTACCCGAGTTGATAGGGARCTTCCAAGGTCCCTACACTGGATGTGAAGTAAGCACGAGACCATGAGGGAGTGACTTTTTCACATCCATTGAAAGGACTTTTTTTTTCATAATCGAAAAGTTAATATAATTTTTTCAACTCGAAACGAAACAAATAATGTAGACTATTTTCCAAGGGCGGATTGAATGTGTAGTTTTTAAGTTTTGACAGTTTCTCAAAGTATTTTTTAGAAAAACTTCAAGCTACATATTCTCCTTTGCTTAATAGATAATTTTGCTTGATATATGAAGAAAATCCAGTATCAAAAGCTTAAGCTTGTTTAATTGAGTAAGTATAATGTTTAGGTCACCCATCCAAATACTAACCCTCCCTAACCGGGCTTGACTCCCTGTCCTGGAAGACCAAGTTTTTTCCACTGAGCCACGGTTTTACGTAATCAGCATAACAATAGGCGTGAAAACAATGCACCAGATAGACTAGACTTTTTGACATTTAATTTTCAACCGATTCCGTGCGTGGCAGAGATGCAAGGGATTAGCCRATATGGTCTGGGGGCCGGCTGTTCTCTCCCCTGATGCTTCGGCTAGAACATTTTCTTGCGTAATTCGTACACCCAAGGGCAGAAGGATTTAATCGCCGTCAGGTCCGAAGTCCATACGCCRCCTCAGCTCTGCGGATGTCTCGGGGGTATGGCACAATTGAATCGATTTTTTTAAAATTTCTGTAGATGGAATTAGGTTCAAATCCCTCATTTTAAAAGGATTTTTTTAACCTTTTGATTCCGCATTAAATTGAAGAGAACWTTCTTTTTCGTTTATCCATTGCGTTACAGATGCATTCTTATACGTTGACATCAAGCATATGCGTGACCCACCCGTGAACCCCTCCCCCGCCCAAGCATGATGTGATGCGCGGCGCCTACAGTACATGTGGATATGCCGCTGTCCACTCTCGTGGGCAATAGCAATTTTCGCCTATTAACAACTTCTACGAGCCGCCCTAGGGCTGCTCTGCTCCTATTAAAACTACTAAAAAATGAAACAGTGGAAAAACGAATGACAAAGGAAAGAAAAATTGATGATTTCTTCGTAAGTTTTATTAATTTAAAAAATGCATCAATTTTACAAATAATCTTTTTGTTAATTTTGTGAAAAACCGAATTCATGTACATCTTCTTGGTTTACGTTTTAAAGTAATTCTCGAGAATATCTTCAGCAGATGCGAACACGCTATTGTTATAATGGACGCCATCCAAAGTGCCGCCGGGGTATGAACTGGTCAGTGGGTACACATCAAGGACAAGAAATCCTGCTCGACACATGGCTGTCATGGCGTAGGCGTTGAACAAGTCGACGCGCTGTGGAAATGAGGAAAGAAACGTTAAATATCTTCTAAGGTATCCGTTCTTAAATTTTATAGTTYAGTTTTATTTACTTCTAGCTTCACGGTTTCAGTTGCATTAATTCAGCCAGCGGTAAGTCGCATAAAACTCAAAGACGATATTCATTGGCAGACTAAAGCGCGAGTGCAAAAACTTTCCATCGTGCTCCATGATGTTTATTGACTTATTGSCTAGTCCCATTCACGAGACAGAAAATAACGAGTTATTAATAACAGCACAACGGAGATGTCGGCTGTTCTTGAGTTAAACAACAATTACTTGGGGTTCCTGTTGTGTATCCCCACCACAGGGACCCCAAGCGCAGCGCAGAGAAAACGTATATTTACCTGTTCAGTATGGAATCTCCTAAAGCACCCACTGTATAACTCGCGTTGTGTCCCAATACTAGTAGTAGTCTTCCATATGACAGTCCCACGATAGAACTGTTTAAGAGTCAATACAATCCCATTGATAATTTTTTGATAAGTATAAAAACCAGAGCTTTTTAACAAGTGCACGCCAGTGTTAAGTAGTAGTGCGCTATTCTCGTCCATATCAGGTCTTATTATGACACTCTTTAGTTCGTTCAGGATTCTAGGGATATTGATGTATTTCCCGCCATATCTGAGATCCATCTCCTCTTTCGCTGTGTGTCGAAGAATGTAGACCCAAGTCATCGTGAAGTAACAAGCGCGGAAAACTTGCCAGCAGAGTGGACGAGTTAGGATTGATTCATAGAAATATCTGTTTAGTGAATCACCGAACACCCATAATACACCTTGGCCCTGGGGATGTCCTGAACCCGCCAACGCCAGACCTGCGTGAAAAGGAAGTAAATTGAGATGAATTAAAGACTTGCACTCAGTGGGAGGTCACGTGACCCTACCATTCAACCAGCCTGCCATCAAGAGCTTTTTCCATACAAATCTTTTCTCAAAATTTTACCTAACCCCATTTGGCTCCTATATTCTACAAACTGATATTAAATTTCGCCTTTTTACTAATATTGAGATGCAACTGTTGCCTTTTCTTGGGTTCATTTTGACACGACTTCTTTTAAGGGGTAGAGTCACGTGACCTCTCCAAGTCAAAAGACGAGTGATTTCTTAGATGTTACCTGGAGTGTACGGAATCCATTGGTTGTTCACCCATGTACCATAACCATCCCATAATACATTGCAGTCATCTTTACATCCAAGGTGACCAGCATCTTTAAAAGCTCCTAGTTCTAAATAACRACTATCTCATGAGGAAATACAAATTTGAATAAGAAAGAAAATTTGCGAAGCATGTTGATAGTGGTAGTAAAATGACGCCATCCAAACGGCCTATCAAAAAAGGCATTGTCATGTAATGTAGTGCAACAGCTACCGATGTAGTAATTGTACTTTTGATTGAAAGCAGCAAAAATTCAAATTTCAACGGATATAACTACAATCATTGGATTCCATGTACCTTCTAAACCAGGCAGAGAGTTAAGAAACAGGTGAGTTGCGTACCACTATACGACAGCTTCGATAGACATACCTTTATCAGACTGTGCAAAAGATGGTTCTACTACAAACTGAAGCCCTTTAGTCTTTGTTAGCGGTTTGTTAATGTAGTCATGCGTACGACCGTGTAGGCTACCAGAGGGCTGGAACGAGCCGTGGAGACAACCTGATACGAAATAGCAACAACACCGAAGGTCAGTATCGATACCTCTTAAAACTCCAGTGTATGTGGGCTTAGCGTYGAATACAGGAGTTGCTTGTTTTGTTATTCCAATTTCTGCTTTTGTTTACCGACCTCAGAAGTGTCCTTGCCGTGTCCCTAGTCTCTCGCAGACAGACAAAATCTCCTGTCGTTTTATGTAATTCTGAATTGATGTTGATGAAAGAATAGCTCCAAAAAACTATTTCTTAGTTATTTATACCCATCTCATAAACTTGCCTCTTGCAAACCAGTCCTGTGGAGGATCTTTAATACCCTTACACAGAGTATAGTCCAATATAACCTGGACTTCGTAACGACCAGGTACCATTACCAGGAAGAGTAATTCATAAGTACCATTATTATGATCGATGACCGTAGCTGTTAAATCAGAGGGCCCGCTYATATACGCTCGAAAAAAATCCCCTCCGACTTTTTTCTTCTCGTCGTTTTTTAAAACAGCTTGAATAAAAATTTTGCTGAAATAGCCGGCTGGTTGAATGTCTAACTTCTTAACGTAGCTGCGTTTGGGGTCCGTTTCCATGGAGGAAGGCCCTCTTTGTGTTTCCCATTGAATGTCCTTCAAACAACTCTTTAGTCTTGACTTCCAATCGTAACGACTTATTCTTTGCTTACACCAGTCGAATTTAAACTGTTTTGCAGCGTCTTTTATGGAAGCCTTGGTGCGCGCGACGACGTTTTGGTTCACGGACAAAGAAGTTGCAGATATATGAAGAAGACAGCAGAGGTAAAAGACAGAAATGAAGCTCRCCGCCATTGATTATCGTATGTGTACAAAGAACAATCATAGTCTTCTTCTCATGGTTTCTAAAAGAACGGAAATTATTTCGTCCAGTGGTTCATAGAAAGAACTTCACCTAAACAGATAAACAAAAGGTAAGAAGTATACTAACATTTGTTTATCATACTCGATATTCCGYATCTAACAAGCGTGCTTTCCTGCCCCTGCGCACAAGTATTTTTTAATGTTTCATTTATAACAAAAGCTTTTTTATCATCAAATGATGAGTTTAAGAATGAACAATTAAAGACTTGGACAAATCTTACTTGAAGAAGAAATTTTACGCATACGACATTTGATCTATCGTAAACTATTCACTTGTTTTAATCTTTTCTTTCGCTACTTCATGGGCGCGGGGGAAAAACATAAAACATTTCAATGAACACTAAACTCGCCCTTCAATTCGCAATTAAAGTAAGCTAGGTATTCTGGTTATTAATTCAGGAATAACACCGACAAATTGTATTTCTAAGTTGAATAAGCAGGAAAATTATTTCCTTATCTTTGTCATCTTACCTTGAATATATTAGCGCCATTTTCCAACATTCTAGATCTCCCTAGCCAACTTTTAAGTCCGTAGTCTTCAATTACTAGTTTTTCTTAAGAAATAAGAAACCTCGTGGTTAAGAACGTTAGAATAACGAATTAGAGCATAACTGCCGTATCTGCCAAGTAGTGTCTGTTTGTGTCATGTTCTAAACTGCCACCAGTGACCCTTTTAGGCGGAAAAACTGGTGTTTGTCAACAGATATATTACAAACCTTCAATTCGACTCCTGCTTGACTAAAAACTGGTTTTCAAAAAGAAAAGGTCCCTTGACTACATTATTTTTTCAGCTTTTATGTGTGAAGCTGAATGTTTCAGTTTATAAGAATCCACTAGTCTTTTCTACTTATACAAACACTGAAAATAGATCTTTCAGTGGTGTCAACACATTGCGTGCTCTTAGAGCAGCTAGAAGCTTTTCTGTAATATTTAAAAATCTACCTAAAATCTTTTATAAACGTGGTATCCATAAGTGAAATATTTTAAATACAAAACAACATGAACTGAAAAAAAGTAAAGAAGAAGAACAAAGAAAAAGAAAGCAGAAATGAGAAGCAAAGCCGACGCCGAATCCCGACTTTAATTCTTAACTTATTTCATGTATATAAAAAAAATAATTCCTCCAAAATAGGCTGTGACTATCAAGATCTCTAGCAATACAATTGACAAATTGCAGAATTTTTGCACCGCTACTGCTGTTATTCGTAGATTATTGCGTCATCACAGGCCATCATCAAAACGAGGAGCATCATTCTATTTATCTCGTTAGGATTGTGAAGTCATCGCTTAATGATCTCGACATCGAAACACATTCAAGAGTAACCATGTATGGACGTGGGTCGACTAAGATTTGCAACTTTGTACATGTTGATGAGATCTGGTATGTACAGCAAAGTTTATTCTGTAGAATAGTGGATGGATACAAGCAAAAAGGAACGCGCACTGTAAAATATCAGTCGTGTCTCCGTCATCAGTCGTAGGACTRCGCGCGCATATATTCCGTATAAGACCCGGTACATTGAAACATGCTACCGAAAAAACCTTCTAGCCGATCGAATTTATTGGTGCGTACACAGTATATCGTTCATAAGTCATGCATATGTACAYTTGAAATTTTGAAGTTTTAATGGCCGAAATCAACTGCATGGCATGAGAGCCAGTATAGTTTAGAAATTGTTGCCGGCTAAGTGATTTAGTTTTATCAATTACTGTAACTTTAGTTCCTTTGGCTGGCAGTACAATGCTGGCTATCCACAWGCTCTTTAGAGTATTACACATTACAGGATTGGCAACCTTGCGCATCATAGTGTCAAAATGTGGCGATATTTTAACCAAACCTTTGAAGTTTTGCGCGCAGTCTAGAAAAATACTTGCGAGGTTTTGCGCAACCGGGAACTGACTACTATAGTGCGCATTATGTAATGGTTATCGACTATTCAATGCTTAAATCATTTATAAGGCTTTATTTTCCCATAAGGAAGGACCACGTAAAACTTGAACTAACAGCTCAAAGAAAATGGCCTGAGAAATGGGGCTTCCTGTCCAAAACCTACCAGCAGGTAAGAATATGTTACGCAAATGAGAAACTTATATGGTGCGCAAATGAGACACTTATGTAAAATTATTGCGCACATTAAATAGCGGGTGTAGGTAGATCTTAATGCAATTGTAAAACTCGGATTATGAAGTTAGAGGAATCTGGAATCCAAAGGGCGGATTGAGGCGTAAGATGTTAAAATGAAATCAAGAATGTCGCGTCTTCAGAACTCACCGATCTCCCTGTTCGAGGTTTGCGCRAAAGTTTTAAGACGTTTGCAGCTCAGCTCCTTGGGTGTAAATTATGAATGATAGATGGAGGTCCATATACATGCCTCATTCTCTTGGGAGTTATTCTTTTCTTGACTGCGCAGCTTGGAAATACAATAGATCCATTCTATAGTGTTTGCGGTAGTTGGATGGATACTACCAGACAAAAATGTCTATTACCATTGGACGAAACTTTTCGAAATATACTTTAAATACCTGTCTAGTTGTTAAATTGTCTAGCGCTAAAAAAACATTAACTTTAGACAATATCTAAAATTTAACAAGAGTCGAAAAAAGACCTGTAAAAGCGACCCGTTTTTATTTTTATCATTTAAGTTAGAAGACGATCTTCTAACCATTGGAGAGGACACGACAGAGCAAAATTTAAAAGAAGCTTCTAAGCCAAAAGATAAAGATGTCAGTATCCCAACGCCGCAGGAAGATAAGAAGCCTCCTGTGCCCTTTCCTAAGACAGACAGCCAGATGATTGGCTGGAGATTACATTATCAAACGCCAAAATCGATGAAATATATGAGCAGCTGTGGCAAGAAAGACATCATAAAACAGTTAGGATGGCCTCGTGAGGGCTGTTAATAAAAATAAACAAAAAGAGTCCAAATTGTTGTGTGATGGAATTCCATTATTTAGTGAAATAAAAAAAGGTTCCAAGTTGAAATGAAATGAAACACTCCATCAATGTGGAATATTTTGAATAATATTCTTTATTTAGTGCTTTATTTATAAAACAACACGAAAATTGTTTACTTATTTCTAGTAAATTAGTACTCTATTTATTTATTTTAAAGCTATCTATTCTTCTACCCATTGAATATATTATACCTACCTACTTAAACACATGTAAAGAGCCTATATTGATATTAGATTGATAGATTGATGATATATGCTTAATAAGTTTGGACAGATGCGACAGTGTAGAAAAATATTATTATTGATAGTTGTGACATCCAACCATCTTACCCTAATGAGGTGCAAAAGCGTTTATCTTGGGATTATTCTTTGGTTTGAATCATAGGACAAACTGCGGGGCATTATTGATATAGTATTCTAATACAAAATAAAATGTCATGTAGAAAATGAATAGAGYGCAGAGTGCTAAAGAATGCTTCCTGATTTTAGACCATGTTCATTCCCTTCTGCATGATTTCTTTGTTTTGTTTCGAATTCATACAATACCGCTTTGTTCTATGATTAAAGAGTTATTACTTAGAATCAATATATTATTCTACACAAAATTGGGGCTAACCCCGAGCATCGGAGAATTCAAAACTAGAATATTAAATTGGGAAAACCCTTTGGCCAATGAGAAAGGCTCGTTGGACCTTTTCAGCTTGAAGGTGTCATGTTCCCCCTTTTCAGGCCATACAATGATTCTCAAATGTTAATGGCAAACAATATATAAGGGAATGATATTCAAGGGAATAAAATGTGGTTTGAAGTGGAAAACGTATAACCCCTAAGTAACTAAGTAAAGGAGGAAAGTGTCTAAAAATTGGATTTAATATCATCCAAAAGTCTATATGGGGAAGTATTTTCTAGCAGTTTCTACAACGTAAAACATGACTGCATTTGCGGGAATCGACCTCATCAAACAAGGAGTGAACCCTCGGTAGAATCTTTTCCATCCTCCTTCATTAAAGTAAAGTTTCCTTRCACAGTCCACAATTCCAGTGTACTTCCTATTTGCCTTGATTGCATCATCTGCTTGCATTGCAGATTTAATTACATCAGTTGGATAGTTGAGAAACCAATAGAAAAAGCCTCCTGCTCCTCCAGCCATTAGCAAACCATATGGAGAAACATCTTGAACTGTTCCTCCTTTGGGAGTCAGGACGTTCCGTGTTATCTCATAAAAACCTAAAAATTAAGGGATTTTTCTTGTTGAAAATTCAGCTAAAAATGTCAGACTAGTTTCAGAGAAAGTAAGATAGAGAAACAAATATAGTGGCATTTTAGGTTTAAAGAAATACTCACAAAAGAAACACCCATTTGCAGGAATATTTCTTAACATTGATGCYGAAAGTCCCTGATAAACTCCACGTATACCATGGTTCTGAGCTATAACATAAGCCGCATGAAACACATTGCGATACCTCATGGGTTCACCAGCCTGGGCTCTTATAATTTGGACCTGCATCTTAGACTTGAACTGGAAACCAAAAATTAAGAACAACTGTTAGAGAGAGCCGCAAAAAATTCTGAGGGGAGGTTATTAAATTTCCAGGGGTTATGCTCCCCTGGAAATTTTTGAAGTTGAGACCCTCGGAAATGTGATTTCCAGAGTTTTTAGGGTCTTTTGTGACATTTTACTGAGGCAACTGCCTCGCTTGCCTAATAGTTGCTACAACCATGCAATGCTCAAGTGATACTTGCAGTCAGGTAGCTGAAAGATGCTGCATCACCTGTCATGCAATATTGCAATGTAAAAAATATTGTGTTGGAAGTTGAAGAGCAAATGCTGATTTTATAATTTAGCTGGCCAAGCACAATGAATTTGCTTTGTTGCAAAGAGTAATAAGTTTCTACTTTGTGCAATGAAGAATATCAGTTACTCGTGTTATGAAATGTGAGCAATATTTGCTATTCAACTACTATGATATAATATGGTATGTAAGTTATATTTACCAAATCTATTGGTCCTTCAACAAGAGCTGCTACGAATCCTGTTAAATTACCTGCTAAAAAGTACTGTGGGATAGTAAGACGCTTTGAATGATCTTCACCAGCAAAGATTGTAGTTATCTGGAAACACAAAAATAGCACTGTTATACTCTTGGAAACAATGTAATAAACTTCTCCTGCCATGACTTTGCAGACTTTCAGCAGAATACGTCACAGAGTTTGTTGGCTCTCTTTGTTTTGAGAATTTTTCTCTGGTTTCTACAGTTTTCCTCCCTCTGTGAATCAGGAGTTGAATCTACAGATGTTTGTCATGRAACTTAAGATACTAAAAAATGAAATCTCCAAAAATAAAAATCCTAACTACCTGATAATATGATGAAAATAGTGTTGCTCTGAAAAACATCTGTCCAACCAATGGGGAACCTGATATGATTAATACAATATATGTCAATTATTATTAGCAATATATTTTATTCCAAAATATGTACGTGACCGCACGGTCACGTGATACGCCTTTCGAAGTTTACAGTACGTAAGATATTACAAATGTATTATAAATGTAGTAATACCTTTCAAAACATTAAATAAAACTTTATTTAAACCAAGGGAATTAGTAAAAATTGTTAAGTAACGCTTGATATATTGTAAACATGAATTTTTTTTTATGTACATGTCCGGAGTTGTTCTTTCGTTGTCGCATCTTAAAACATTTGTCTCGAAATTTATATTTTGAGAGAGAAAAATCTTGACATGTTAGGCACCTTGCTTTATGCTTTAATAACTGTACTAATATATACTCACCTACACCTTTATATAAACCCCCTATTCCTTCCCATTTCAAGGTCTTAAAGAAGCAGTCTGAGAGTCCCTTGTAAACTGGTCGGTCAACGGGTTGGGTTTGTAGACGAACTTTAAGCGTGTCAAATGGATGCCCAACAAGACACACAGCAATTCCACCTATAGTCCCTGAAAGGGTATTTTTTAATGTCCGATACGCGAAGGATTCCTTTGCAGGACTCGCGATTGCTTGCAATGATTCCACATCTTCCACATCACCGGACGCCATTTTGGGGTTCATGTATATGACTCACTAGGGTAGGGTGGGGTGGTTTTAAACGCAGTGTGTACTGGGTAAAGGTGTATGGGGTTGAAATGTGGAAAAATAATTCCTTTGCTAAAAATATTGCTAAAATAAGAATATAAATTCAGTTATTTCATTTTTAAGAATGAAGTTTTTAAAAAAAAATTGAATATGAACTATGAAATTTTYGATAGGTAGAAAACTGGGAAAGATCGACTAATCATTTACTATAACTGTTAAAAATTGTTAACAAATATATCATAGCAGAATACTTACATCATCATTGAATTTTTTTTATGTTTTGGATATTTACTGACGAAAAAATGATAAGATCATAGCCTACTCCAGCCATAGACGTCCTTGTCACATCACGCGTGATCGTTATTTTACGTTACGTTACGTTACATTCGTGTTTTGTCACTAGGGAACGAGTCGACCAATCAAAACCTGTAAAGGCATCCCCATTTGAACCAATCAAATCGCTTCACGGAAAGATTGAGTCAGTCGGCGGGAAGACAACGAAAACCATGCAGTAGTAAAGAAAAATCTCATATCACGAAACATGGATAACTTAATTCGATTATCTCAAGCTTCATCCTTTGATCAAAGGTTCAACTGCCTTATATGTTGGTCTCCTAGACTTCGTATGGTCTATGGTTCCTGCCAGCATCGTTTATGCGTGAACTGTTTGTATGACTCTGACGATTTGCGAAGAGATGGTCTGGATAAATGTCCGACATGTCAGTTAGAAGATGCTTTCCCTATCTTTAAGCCAAGTATTCCTGAAGATAACATTGCTTTGCAGCAACAAATCGGTGTTGTTAGTTGTACAAATTCTGGTTGTGAATCTGAGATGTGGTATTGGGAACTTGAGAAGCATTTAAGGTAACATTATCAGTAGCTGTTTGACTTCTCTTGTCTAAAAATATAATGTAAGACTTCAAAAAATCTAAGATTACAAATTTCAAATGTACGACTTCCAAACATCTATAAAAACGTCAAAAATGAGCTTATACATGTACAGCTATAGCTATGAGCAACTACAAAACATTTGAAATTCAAGTTTTTCCTTTTCAAGTTCAATTAAAATATTCAGATCATAGCATAGCTAATTAATGATTAATTTATTTGTTTTCCAGTACTGAGTGCTGCTTCAATAAACTCAAAACTACACAACAATCCAAGAAAAGAAAAAGCGTTTCTGACAAACCACATGAATATAATTTGAGACACTCCAGTAAAAGACATTCTCCAGGAAGGTATTCCTTTTCTCAAGAGTACAGAAGATCATCAAGGAGGAAAATGAGTTCAGCTTGATGAATTAATTAATTCCAAACRTAATGTGAGCAAGATTTCATATACTTTCCTGCGTTTCATGTATATAAGTGTAAATGCCAAAATTGCCTGCAAAATTAGATCGCAAAATGATGAACAAAAAACTTCTAGATTCATATATATGCTTATTCTTTGGGGGTTTGACTAGATCACGATGATCTAATTGCCCTAATTCACTATGACGTCACTGCTTGTTTATGTGGGGAATAGAATTGTCAAATCTAATAGAAAATTCAACAAAATTTGCTCCTAGTGAAACCGTTTAATCTAAAATGGCCTGATTTTCGGATATGTGTTAATATGTGCTAAAACTTATTCTGAGCCTTTGCTGGCTATTCTACTTCTCTTCRTGGATTGATACAGGTTTTAGAACAATTTTTGGTAAATTTGTGTTGATTTGACCCGGTCCGATGACCACGATCCTTTGCGTTTAAACAATAGATTGTTGAAGATTGTTTTGATGTGATGTCATAGTGAATTAGGGCAATTAGGGGGTTCGTCCTTGTCATTAAGGGGTCCAATCATGGTTTAGGGGCTTCAGATAAACTCTCCTACAACCATCTCTGGTTTTGATATTACATGCTACTACTAAATCATCCATGTAGATATGTGAAGTGGGGAGGAGAGGGACTCTGACATTCAATTCATTATCTGTTTCGAATGAAGAGCACAACTTCATCAATTCAAAAATCAAACTCGTTCATAGTCATGATTGGGCCAATCATGCAACAAGCAAAGCTTATGCAACATGAATTTTTCACTTTATTTACCAAATTTAACTAATTTAATAACAAAAACAGTATATCAGAGACAATTTAAAGCTAAAGAACTCTTTATTAATAAAGAAACTAATGTTGGATAGTTATAATAATTTATTCCAACAAGTTGTACATGGTTGACTATGTGAGTTGTGAATATAATTGTAATTCAGATGAGACAATGTAAGGAGATCCATCACTGTAGATCTTTGAAGATTTGTTAGTGGAAAACATTTAATTCATTCCATGTATGTATACCTTATTTAAAAAAAAGCTAAAATTATGTTTTTGACTTTGTGTGATTTTGATTTTGTGACTTTGGAAACAATAGTGGTGTGAAATAATGATGTTTTTATACTGCGCTGCTAGTTGAGACTTAAATACAACAGTTGAATAGGAAGAAAGCTTTAAAAATACTGTAAGAAATTTGTAACTTCTGACATTTCRGACATGTACTGTAGATACATTTCAGACAGTCATTGGAGTCAAATTTCAATTTTTTTATAATTGACTAGTTTCATCTTGCTAAAGCTCAAGATCAAAGAATAATTAATTAAATTAATTATTTAATTTAATCTAATTCCCTACTAGCTTTTTTTTCRCTTCTTCAATTAAAATTTATTCCTAAGTTGAGTTGTAATTTATCATTGGATTAACTCTTTGCTTTGAGTCCTTCTTTAACAGAATCAGGAATCATACTAATGTATAAATCATGATTCTTCAAAGATGCAACTACTCCAGCCTTGTTAACATAAGATTCTGCTTCAAAGTCATAAGTAACTTGATTGCCAAACACATCTGTTAGCTTTCCTCCCAAGGTCTCTAGGATGGCTTCCCCAGCACAGGTATCCCAGCGCTTACACCCAGCACTAGCAAATATGTATCCATCAGCTTCACCCTCTACGACAAGCATTACTTTATGGCCTGGGAAGAAAATTATGTCATTGAGTTTTAATTTTTCCAAGGCAACTGACATAAGCCATACATGTGAACAGTTGCATCTGATTGGCTGATTTTGTACTAAGGGATCCTAAAGTTCCATGGGAAACAAATGTAAGCCATCTTGTGCACAATCATAGTGGTCAGGCCTTAAAATAACAGTTGGTCAACAGACAATGTCTGGCCAATCTCTTATGCTGGTCAACTTGATGGTCAAATGATGATCAGTCAAATGTGTGGCTTCATTAATGTGGCTGGTCATCAAGTCCAGCCATTGAGCAGCCATCATTTTTAGCCTTGATAGTTCCAATCAGAAACGATTTGTGACTAGACAGTGTCATCCCTATGGTAGGCTATTTTATGCTGCTAAACTTACCAGACCCTCCAACTTTCAAGATGCCATCTGGCTTCATAGCTTCAATAGCTTCAACTACCAACTTGTTTGAATGTGATCGAGTTGTAGTTATTATCCTACGGCCCTCTGGTGGAGTCTTGCATTGGAATCCAAAAGCTCCCATGCCTGGAATTCCCCATATAGTGCGCCCCAAGGTTGCACATTCACTTATCTTGGCTCCTTTCCTATAGCCATAGAATGGCTCATGTATTATACCAGCTACTGGCCTGCCAGCACAGGATACACCTATGAGCACTGTTGAGTGATTGTATAGGCCTGAAAATTTTTGAGCAAGTTTGGTTAGCAATACACCTTTTCAAAATTTCATTGCCAGTGTGAATGAAAKGATGGTACCAGGTTGAGATTAGAATTGATAAAATGCAACTAATGTATTAAAACAGCATGTTAAAAGTATATTTAGAATCCACTTATTTGAGTGCTTTCCACAGTGATTTATAACCTACCTTCTGTAAATTCCCTTGTTCCATCTAATGGATCTACCCATATGACAACCTTAATAGTAACAAACCAAAAATAAAGTAACTATAGAGATAAACCTACAAGGCTCAATGCTCAATGCAGCCTCTATTAGTGTTGTCACATGAAGCAACCTCACACACTGCTTACTCCCCTAAGCTGCTTAGAGTAGTGAGATGTGACAACATTAATAGAGGCTGCATAGAAGACTAGGACTATAAAGACTAACAGCAAACCCCCTACCCTCAGCTTGTTTAGATCTTCAACGAATGGGGTATTCCCCTGGAATTCTCAGATGAGCCTTCCTCCCCCTCAAGACGATGCCCCATGTTGCCTGATACTTTTGTTTATGCATATATAATTCACAATATTTGTACTGACGTCTTCTGGTTTGATGTTCTTGTATTTATCTGGACATTCATGTTGGAGCACAGTAGAATCCTGGTTTGTGACCAGCAGATCTTGACTCAGATCATTTACCTCCACATCCTGCAGACCCAAACACCAATACAAATCATTCAATCATATTTTCTGAACAGACTTTATTTGAATTAATAATCAACTATTCTTCATTTGCCACTAACATGGCTGCCACATCTTTGTCTTCTCAGTCCCTTGGAGTATAATTACAAACCATCAATGGATTGATATATTTACCTCTTCTTCACCAACCACTTTCAAGCCAGGGTATTGCTTCAATAGTGAGCCTATAATGCATTTTTGAGCCAATCTATCAGCTTCAGTTTGCGGATCATATGACTCRGCTGAGCCATCCTCAGACTGATATTCAACATAGAAGAAAAAATTAACTTGTTACTCTGACCTATAAGACACTATAGAAGGTGTTACACAGGATACTAAAAGTTTATGCAAAAATTCTAAAAATGTGAGAATAAATACCTGTGAATAGATAGCCCCCAAGCTAAATGCATTATATATGCTTAGCTCCAATTGATATATTTCTCCAACCCAACCCCACCAAGAAGCTGTATAGCCAAGCTAAGTTGATTGGTTTGGGTATTGAGAAATATAAACTCTGCTTGGAAGATGATTATAAGATAATTATAACAACCCACTGCACAAGAATTAATAACATAAAGTGCCCACTAAGAATAATAACAAGCATATAAATTGAAAATATAAAATAAATTTTCTCATTTACCTGAAATATTTCATGCCATGCAAAATTTGATTCTGAGGCGTATTTTCTTAAAATCAATTTACTATCATATCATCTAGACAGCTGTTTGATAAATTATGAAATATTTGTAAATCCCGTTCTGAATGAATGCATACAGATCCCCCGAGAAAATAACATTGACCGGTAAGTGATTTCTGCCTACCTTGTTTACAATGCCAAGTTCTCCTTTCTTCAAAACATCTCTGATCACCACACCAGCTCGATTTGCGATGGCTACAGAGCTAGATACCAGTCGTACAAGGAAAGGTTTTGGGGCTGCCATTTCGTAAACCTGAAAATTTTTTGATCTTTAGATTTTAAATAAAGAGAATATTTATTCGATAACCCATCAAACAGTGCAGGCTTATTCCCACAGGAAGCCCGCGGCTATATATTGAGCACTGATTTCGTTGTTGCGTGAAAAAGGTCAACAAGGTGTCTTTTCTAACTCGAGTGGAAAATACACAACTTATTTTCCCYGACTGAATCACAACGGGGACTCTACTGTATCTTTACGGCCCTATTTATAAAGTATCTTTATCTCAAGCGCGAAAAAATTACCCGGGAACATGAAAAGATGACGACGACTGAAGGAACCTCGTCAAAAATGGCGCGCGAACGATGGAAAATACTCGCTAATGTTCTGACTAAGAAGAACGACAACAATGTCTCCTTGTTGAGTTCTGTTTCCGTGAGGCGTTTTGAAGGGTTTGGGCTGTTCAAATCTGTTGAATGTAAAAGCTCTACTATTGTTCCTGCGGAATTCCAATCGTTTGAATATTTTAGTACTGTTGAGCGAGTCCCAAGTACTCGTGTCCAAATCACAGTCAGGTAAAACAACGATTGCTTTTTATTTCAATAAAATGGCTTGTAGCTCTGAAGTAGGTGTTGATGGATAATTCCTGATAAGGCTATTAGTGCAGACTATGTTTTTTTYATTATTTTTGATGCGATTACACACATAAATTATGTGTTTACTGGGACTCACACATATATCCCAATAACACCTGTCTTTATTTTATTTATATCTTAATTTTTTCAAATTTTTTTTTCAGAAAGAAGAATGTTGGGCTGCAGATTAATGAATTATCAGGCTTTGATAACACAGGAAATATCTGTAAGCATTTTGACATTTTACCACCTTCAATGCATTAGTTTTTCTCTATCGTCAGCAAAGATGAAAAGGTTTAAATTACAACATTGAACAGACTTTATTAACTTTTCAAAGAATATATTGTTTTCTCATTTCAGACAATGTATCATTCTTTAGAGTATCATTTCTTTGTTTAATCATTGCATATGAAAAGACACATGAATCAATTTTGAATATAACGCAAACATAGAAATTCTGTTTTCAAGAGAATAACATGTGGTGTGAAATGGAAAACATTGTGCCCAAGCTAAAAAATGGATGGAAGAAAGCCATGCTGTCTATCCCCACCTCAACCAAAACTTTTTTCTTAGGGGAGGGGGGGGGGGGTACTATTATATTGTTCATTACAAACCATTATCATACATTGTAACCATTTGCAATTCTACAGGTATTTGGCCATCTCAAGAAGTATTAGCATACTATTTATTAAAACACAGGAGTAGATATGAGTAAGTATATGTGTGTGTATATATATATATATATATATATATATATTAATATTTCCAGCCCCAAAAACTGTACAGTATATCATTTTTTATCCATTATAAGCCCTGTTTTTAGCAATTTTTTGGATTAATTTTCAGGGGGAAATGTGTTTGTGAACTTGGAGCAGGCATGAGTGCTCTAGCTGGTATTATGGTGAGTGTCTTATAAATATTTCATAGTCTTTTGGGTATCTTATATGACAAGCTGAACTTATTCATTTAACTTTTGATCAAAAAATACATTAACCAATTATGGTTTAACATTAATATTTKACAGCTTGCCGCAAACAGTGCGGCAACAGAGGTGTGTTTGACAGATGGGAATCAACAATCTGTGTCTAGTATCCTTAAACTTTTCTTCATTTTTAACCCACTTAAAACCATTAATGTAGAGAGTTTGCACCATCACGTGATGGCAGCCATGTAAGATGGCAGGGACAATACAATCATTTAATATACAAAAGAATTCAATTCCCAAGAGCAAAGGGATTCTATTATTCTGCCATCTAACCACAGACAGTCCAAGCTGTATCATGGGCCTGGTGGTGCAGACCTCTATCGTAGTGTATGGAAAATATCTTGGTAGCTGCCATAACTTAATTAGATCATAAGGATTTTGTTTAGAGATTGTCGTCAGGCTTAACTAATATAAAAAGACATCAAAAGAATCATTGCCAACAACAGTTCTGCCTTTGGAGACACAAAAGTCCATACAAGGTACTCAGACTATTTTAATTCTGAAAAATCCAAAATGTTTTTTAAGCTCATAAATAATTGGTTGGTTTTTCATTGAAAATGGTTTTTAATATTATAGAACAATGGTGTGGGGTGAGAATGCAATAGTCCCAGAAATGAAGAACAAATTTGATCTGATTGTGGCCTCGGATTGGTAAGAGACATTGCTTTTTTATTAAACTCTAAAAATAAATGACTGAAAAAACGATTGATTGATTGATCAATTGAATGAGCTAAAATGAGTTAACAATTGATCAAAAGAATGGATGGTTAAATGAATGAATAAATGAAATAATGAATAAGCCAATAAAAAATTGAATGAATGAGTGAGCAAATGAATGGAACATGAATGGATAAATGAATGAATAAAAAACAAAATATTGGCAGATACATATGAATGCATAGATAAATGCATAAATGACTGAACCAATAAATATTAAAATGAATGAAGAAATAATCAAAAGAAGGAATTGATTGTTTAAATAAAATATGTATGAAAAAGGTTTTTTATTAGAGTTGCTGGGTTTCTGTAGCGGCCTACTTCCGTTTGCATGATCATCATGTGCGTAGGCATGCCAGTTTTTATACTGACCTCAAGGTCACACAACACACATAGTTGTGGATATTTTGAGTCCATGTTTGTTTTTTAGTTTTATCGGAGAAGACTCACTGAAGTTACGCCATGCTAATACTCGATAGCAAGGAATTCATGCGGATTTAGGGAAAATCATGTACTATATTGTTTAATTGCATGATAAATAAACGTCAACTCAGTGAAAATTGTCTGATTGGAGACAAACCCCTAGTTTATGGAAACTACAGTTTCAATAATACAATCCAATGATTTTTCCATAGCTTGTTTTATGTTGAAAGTCACAAAGRCCTTCTACACACAATAGATGTCCTCCTATCTCCAAAGGTCAGTTTGATTTGAAAATGTCTTTCTTTTCCTTATCATATATTCATTGATATCCTACTGCTGTATTTCTCAGGGTCGAACCATTTTAATGTCGCCTCATCGTGCTGGCACGCTACAGAAGTTTTGCAGCACAGCCTCATTATTTTTTGAAGTACAGATCATCATGGATTATGATGAATTGATCTCAGCTAAACTAAAAGAGGTAACAGAGTTGTATTCCATCTACAAAAAATCACATCTAAATTCTGACAGGATTCAGTGTAAGAAGAGCCACTCTAGAATTACGAATGTTACTAAATCCCCCATTTATTCTTAGAATAATGCTTATACTAAACCTGCTTTTTACAGGCACGATCCCTTGGTAAGGATATATTTGACGAAGACCTTCACTACCCTGTGATGGTGTTATTACAAAGAAAACAGCGCAATGGACTCTACAACCTGAGCTTAGAATGTGATCAAGCTGTTTAACCCTGTAATTGATACAACCATAAATTGTAGCCACAGGTTTTTGAGGCTTGTATATGCCAGTACATAGTTTAAGAAATTATCCATTTTGTACTCCAACCTCCCTGTCCTTGAAAATTCCACTRCTTGGGATATTTTTCCGAACTACAGTAGAGTGCACGCACTAAAACCGTGAACATTAAATAGTACTAATTAGTACTATTTCATACAGAATCCTTTGTTTTCTATTGTTTATCACTATTTAGTGCTAAAAATTAGTATTTGTTTCACGGATTTAGTGTGAGCACTCTACTGTAATATACTGGTTTTACAAGCAGGTAAACTTAATAGAAAATGTATGCATTTGTAATTGCTCTGTACCTACAACGCTGTTCATAATAACCAGGTGACGGTATTATCACTCCCTGCCACTTGCAATATTTTTCAAACTACAAAGTATGAGTAGATACCGATGTGAATTGGAAGTATTTTAATAGCAAAACCTAAGCTTAAAAAACACACACATTATTTACACAAAAAAACAAATATAATTACTGCTTTATTTTAAAATATTAAGCAGTTAGCCATTTTCAAAGAAATGTATATTAATATTATATAATATATTAATAATGCTTAATACTATTTAATTGTATCAATAACTATATCAAACTCCTTGGTTTTTATTTAAATATGATAATAACCTATATTGACATTTGTTGGGATTTGATAAAGTACTCAGTAAAAGATAAAAACGTCATTGTGTTTGATATAAATTATGTACAGTATATTGTCTGGTTCCAGGGTTTTAAATCTAAACGGCCAGACATCAGACCATGTCCACCCAGTTTTTGGAACTTGTTCACTCAAATCTTTGCCTTGCYGGTAATTTTGACCAGTAATGTTCTAATTTGTCTGTCATAATGACTGGCAAGTTACTGGTCGTTATTTTAAGCCCTGAGTTCATGTAAAAGTTTTAAGTAATATCCTTAAGAGTATTTATTCAATACCAGTGGTCTAGTATGGTGGAACCCAGTTAATAGGGCCACCAAAAGGATAGGCCAAAGTGGCAGTATTAGATGGGTGTTCATATTATGTGAGTAAATTTGTATATGTAATAGGACTCCATGCTGTCCAATTAAGAAATAATTGGACGAGGAAAATTCCAAGGACTGACAAAATTGGATGAGGCCAATTTGGCAGTCAGAGGAATTTTTTGAGTCTAATTATTTCTTGATTGGGGAGCATGAAATCCCATTACCTATTAATTATATAGCTGCCTAATTAATCCCATATCAACAAGACCTGTCCAATTAAGAAAATAATTGGACAGTTACCTATATGGGATTAATGAGAAGCTGTATAATTAAATAGAAAGTGTATGCATGGGTGTTTGTTTGGGACTTAAAAGGATCTTCGTAATAACTGGGTGGCTGTATTAAGCACATGCATTAAGCCGTAGAGTAGGGTTCCACTATGGTTGATTATAAGATAAAGCTCTGGTTCAACATATAGTTTGTAATGTGTGCTTGCTTTTAACAGTGACATAGTTCTAGAAAATATTCCACCATCCCAAAGGTAGGGTATTAGAATTTTTTAAGGGTAATGGAATCAAACACCTACCTCTGTAAGGGATGCATGGATAGTTTCTAGAACTGTATAATTTATGAAAATCCTAGTATATTTGATAATAACAGCAATAAAAATATATAAGCTGCTTGATRAAATTCACGTTCTGAATAATTTTTGTATTTTTCTATCGTAATCGTGATGTTTTCGTTACTTTTCATTCCTTTCTTATTCCTTGTAAATTAAAATTAATTTCATTATTGATCCCCCTCTTAATTTTTCCTTTCATAGCATTATCTTCTGACTTCATGAGCCGAAATAGCGAAAAAAAGTGAAATTCAAAGATTATATTAATTACGAGCATCATTTGTAGAAAGCYGGACATTGTTTCTTCGATGCAAAAATACAGGCCATTTCTCAGCTCCTTGGCTAAAATATAATTAAAAGAAAGTAATACTACCTATTTTGACCAGATTAGAGTATAAGCAAGATAAACCAAGAAAAGTACAACTACTGATATCAGCATGCTTTTTCTGTTTTCACTTCTTAATGATTTGAGCTGCTTTTCTGCAAATTAAAAAAAACAGAAACAAAAGAAATTTTAAATTTATAATAAATGATCTGGTATATTAGCAAGTGAGGAAATATTTTAGATGATTTCTAGAGTCCCCCTCCCCTCCCCCAGAGAGGATGAGGCAGTAGACAACACACAGTAGACTAAGTTTTTCCTTCATAAATATACATACGGTGTTCTACAACTTTATCTTTTAGCTTCTTCTCTTCTTCCTGAAGGTCTTCTCTAAATGCAAAAAATTTGGAAAAATTTTGTAAAATTAGAACCAAAAAAATCCTTTCTATAGAGTGCAATGAAGGGAGGTAGGATGCTTGCCTAAGCTTCCAAATCTATTAATCTGTATATTTTAGTCATTTTAGTAGTAAAGGAAAAGAAAACAATTCAACATGGAGCTTTGAGGTAAGATCTGCCACGGGATTATGAYGGAAACATACATGTAGAATATTTGCATAAAGCGATCTTACCTTTCCTGGCTCGACATAGCCCTGAGTCTTAGACTTCTTTCAATACTATCAAGTCTATCTTCACAGCTCGCTAACTGTTTCTCTATATCTTCTATCTAAAAATATTAATATACAAAGACAATGGCCATGCGTGATGTGAGAGCCGGTCTGCATATATTCAAATACATTCGTTGAAATAATTTCGTAAGATAGAAAAACATACCTGTGAAACAATGCTAGACGTCATTGTCTTGTATTTATGAATATAATAAACAGATCTAAAAGTAAATTAATTATTTTTATCAAGTGAAAGGAAAAAGGAGTATATAATTACGACACGTCGTTCACCAAAAGCGTGAAAATCATCAGGCGTTATTACCGTGATTGAGCGGAGACTGGTACCACGATTACCGCTGGTTCACAGGATCGTCGCATCATTTCAAAATGGCGGGCAAAACAAAATAAACATGTGACACGTGGATGTCAAGAAATATACCAAAAATTCATTTCAAGCTCATCGAATTCTCATCATAAAAACCATTCAAGCTTTTAGAAGCCTTGGATTATGACAGTCTGTTATTTCTTAGCGTTATTTTTGGGTTTCTTTACGGGCCTGTCAAATCAGATCCCGGATGAATGTCTGTTGCCATTTCCAAGGAGTTATGTGGTTTACAGCCTCAAAGAACACGAAAAGATTAYCGTAGATGGAAAACTTGAAGAAGATGCATGGAAAAACGTTGGCTGGACCGAAGATTTCCTTGGTAAGGGACTGGTAAATAAGGAGGAGGGGGAGGGGTGGTGCAAGTTATTAATAGGCTTCATAGTAAAATGTTTCATTTAAAAGAATTCCTTTGCTTTCACAAACTAAGTAGAAAAATATGCATTCCAGGTAAAGGCCATTTTGCGTGGACCATTGCATTTGTTATAAAAACATCTTGTTAGGGTTTCCTTCGTCAAATTAATTTTTGATTGACAGATATTCAAGGATCAGGATGGCCAAAACCAAGRTTTCTTACTAAAGCCAAAATGCGCTGGGATTCTACATACCTCTATATAGGTGGATATGTGCAAGAACCTGATGTCTGGGCAAACCAGACCAAACATGATTCAGTTGGTGAGTATGCCAGAAAAACCTGTTCTTAGGGCTGGTTCATGATTTACTTAAGGGGGCGTATGTCTCTCACCACTGTACATGTGTACTGGTAGTTCACATGTACCTGGAGACATAGGTTGGATTCCCAGTTGAGCCACATTTGTGAATTGAGCTCAAGGGTGGTCCAGGGGGGCGGGGCAAAGGGGGACTGAAGCCCCCTTTCAGCAGAAAAAAATAACAAAACAAAACTGAAGAATTGGATGCTTTTTTAATGTTTTCCATTGTGTTGACAGAAGAAACTCAATTAGTCCCCCCCCCCCCCCTAAGATTTTGGCTGGATCTGCCCTTGGAGTTTGAATACTAATGTGGGGTTGGGCAAAACCACTCCAATAAATGATATAATATATATAATTATAAATATATGTAATTGTAAATACTGCAGAAACTCTATCGAGTGGCCACCTAATAAACAGCCTACCTCTTTTTAGTGGCCAACCTCTATTTAGTGGCCAATAAATTGACCGTTATCATCTGAAAAACTAACCAAGAAAGTCTCCCTGGAGAAAAAATTTCTGAATTTTTTTCCTGTTTTGTTTTACAGTCTTCAAGGACAATGATTTTGAGGTAAGAAGACTTTGAATTCTTTCTGTTATTTTCTGTACTGAATAATAGTTAGAAATTTTATTTAGTTTTTGATCAGAACTCGCTCAAAAATCAGGGTCAGATCCAGGGGTTGTCCTGTGGTGCACCTGACATCACTAATGCCGTAATTACTCTTAGGCTTTTTTGAAGCGATGCATAATATCTCTATTTCTTTATTTGGGACCCCCCACCCCCCCTTACAAATTCCTGGATCTGCCCCTGGAAATCAATACATATCTCATTATCTTCCAGGTTTTTATTGATCCCAATGGTAACACCCATTGGTATGTATCAGTATTATTAATTATTTCTTGTTTTAATTTTTGTTTTGTTTAAAAAGATCTTTAATCATTATTATGCATCAGTTAAATAATTTTTATCAAAACAAAAGATAATAATGTTTTTAAGTTCCAAAAGTTCTATTCTTTGGCATGAAGGACGTAGAGTAACTGTTAAACTTAGAGCAAGGTTGTTCTTCAAGAAGATACACTCAATTGAAGAATCGTTGTTGGGTTCAGAAACATAGAACATAGAAGCTGAGACCAAAATGGCACATGGGAAGCATGTTAATTAGATGCATGCTGTGACTGGCGACCCGTGGCATCATCCACTGTTTTTAATACCCGTTAGGCATTCTAAACCGACTGCATGGATGGCGCAAATGAATAAATTATGATATAATTTTGTCATTTCCCATGTGCCATTTCGGTCTCAGCTTTTACGTTATATGTTTCCGAACCCGACAACAATTCTTCAATTGAGTGTATACTGTATGACATTAATAGAGTTATAAATAATAGCTTGTAATGTAACAAATTTTCTTCCAGGTATAAAGAATTTGAAATAAATGCAATAAACACGACATGGGACCTTGAGTTAAACAAGGTATTTTATTAAGAAAATTAATAATAAAACTTAATAATGGCTTGCATGCACCACTAATATGCCACCTCTCATCACTAATTATTCCCAGGCTTGGTGTTGTACTGTATGTACATGTGTCGAGGTGTTTGCTGGTTCTCTCCCATGCTGTGTAGGTTTTTCTCCAGGTTTCCTGGTTTTTCCTCCCTCCACAAAAATCAACCTCTAAATTCTAATTCAATCAATAAAAATTGGTAGCCTTATCAAGTGGGTTGCAAAACCTCTTAGGCTTTCTGTCCATCACAGAGTGTTAAATTCGGTTAGCAAGTAGTTAATGAAATAATCCTCTGGCTACCAAAAATTGGTAGCCTTATCAAGTGGGTTGCAAAACCTCTTAGGCTTTCTGTCCATCACAGAGTGTTAAATTCGGTTAGCAAGTAGTTAATGAAATAATCCTCTGGCTACCAAAAATTGGTAGCCTTATCAAGTGGGTTGCAAAACCTCTTAGGATTTCTGTCCATCACAGAGTGTTAAATTYGGTTAGCAAGTAGTTAATGAAATAATCCTCTGGATGTTTTTCAGCCATACCTTAATGGTGGTGCTGCAAATAGTAGCTGGGAAATGCCGTCAATGAAAAGTGCAATCTTTGTTGATGGTCCAATAAATGATCCTTCTGTGAAAGGTATGTAAGAATCTTTTCCAAAGGAATAGGGGCTAAATAGAGAGGTGGTATGATGAATGCAATTTCATAAAATACTACCGTATTCCTCAGTGTTAGCCTCATTTCACTGGCAACATAGAGTAAAGGATGTACAACCTCAATAATACATACAATGTACAACTTGAAATTTCATTCACCCTCTCTGGAGCACATGAATATTCTACACAAAATAAAACTGTAATATTCCAATTCTTGCTCACTGTTTAAGAAGTACAACTGGTAGTTAGTTCAATCTGATTTGTATATTTCAGATAATTATTGGACAGTAGAACTGGCTTTACCTTTTAAGGACATTGTGGTGCATAATGCTGGAGCTTCTGCTCCTCCTAAAAACTCCGATCAGTGGAGGATAAACTTTAGTAGGTTAGTATGAAATCTGCCACCCCCTGTGACGCAACTGTCTAAAGAAGTATCAGCAAATATTTTCCACTTGCACACTTGGAATTGGTAATTCCTCTACTCATTCCACCATGGTGACATTCATAGTCATGGCTTAATTTTAAAACTATGGCAGATATACTTATTCATTCGTGGCAGTTGAGAGGAACTTGACATTTTGACTGCTACTGCTAGTATTCGTCAGGCAACGGTGTAGACTTGAAGGTGGTCTTCGTACAGTATATATTAAGAGTCTGGTTCCCTTGGGCATTACAGAGTGCTTTTGAATGGTCRGTATCCAGACTTCCAGAATCTGGATTCAGCTGTCCCTATGGATGTTGTAGACTAAGAATGGTTTGGGGCAGAGACTTATAAGTTTAGGCTCCCTCTCGGCAAATGTGATTGGTCCTTCATCCACCCCCTTTCCCTGGTGATCTTCTACCTCCTGTGCAGGCAACCCCATTGTCAAAGAGGTCATCTAGTCACCCCCACCAACACAGCACCTCCAATAAACAATTTATTAAGTTATTCATTTGTTCATTCATTTGTTTATTTGTTCATTCCTTTATTCTTTTTTTTTTTCTTTAGAGTTGAATGGCATGTAAAAGTCGTGGATGGGCATTATGAAAAGGTATAATGAATAAAATCTAAATCAATTCAAAGAAATGTTTAAAAATATTAATGACTAATTAGTGCCGTAATGTATTGCAGGTGTCTGGGATCCCAGAAGATAATTGGGTGTGGTCCCCACAGTATGCCATCAATATGCACCTACCAGAAAGGTTTGTTATGCTACATATACTTATGATTAAACCCATATTCTTATCCAATGAAATTAAACCAATATCTCATTGTATTTGTAATTGCTGGTTGATATACTTCCTCTTTCTAACGAGACAAAAACGGATTGATATGAGAGTGTGGGCTTAAATGACCATAATTCGAGAAGAATCTAATGACTGATATGCTACTATCAGTACAATACCAACCTTAGAAAATCTGTTACCTCTTTAGGTGTTCTGTTTCTCCATCATTTTTGGGCAAAGGAGTAGTCTGAGTAAATTCACTTTTGTCTAAGCCCCTAAAAAACAGGCAGATCTAGGGAATGGGTGCAGGGGATTCCCCCTCACCCTAGACTGCTGTTATCTTAACTGCGTTATTATTGGTGCTCAAGATGGTGGTCCTGATCACAAACAGTCCACTCTCTCTTAAAAAGACCCTGGATTTTCTCCAGCTAATCTATAACTTGTTGTTAGATGGGGATTTCTGCAGTTCAGCACAGATGCCATCAACACTACTAAGTTTGCAGAAACCTCTAACTGGCCAGTTTACTCATCTCTGATCATGCTTTATGAGGCTGAGAAGGTAAGTGCAGTTTTAACAGTATATTCTAGTGCTCTACATGTACCTTAGCCTGCTATACAGAAATTCTTAGAGATGTCATGTTGTCACACCATGTTCTCCTCCCTACATAGATTTTCTGACAAATCTGTGCTATGGCTCAAGGACAGGGTATAGGTTTTTTGCAGCGTTATTGACATTGCTGACCCCTTTTTGGTTATGAAACACATTTGCTTTTGTTTATCTAAGACAGGGTTATCATTAAGTTTTGAAATAATATAAGGTGCTCAGTTACCAGATCATTGTCCAATCTCCTACCCTTACTGGAAAAACCCCTGCAATGACAAGGGAGCTATTTTGCCGTAAGATGGTGCACAGAATTTATATGGTGGTACCCAACCGCCCTGATCTTCAGGGGAGTACGCTCTAGGGAGTGGGGATAAATCGACTACGATAACTTCAATRCCAATTTTATTCTACCTTCCAGAAATACATTGCAGTGAATGGCTATTACACTGCCAACCTGACTCTCCTAGAGATTCCCAAGGCGCTCATGACCAGTGAATGTTACAACCAAATAAAAATAGAGGTAATCAATACCTACAACTTTAATATCACTGTACAATCAGACTATCCTGGCCTCCAGGTTGGCCACATCCGGGATGACAGGTTAATCTGGTTTAGTAAGCCACAAACACGACAGGAAATATAATGTGGAAATGAATTTGCTAAGCAGGAAAAAATATCCATTATGATATTTTATACTCATTATTATGAAAAGATAATCTGGAAATCACCTGCRAGGTGTTAAAGTTTTAGATAGTTACAAACTCAAAAGGCTTTGATTGAAAGACTAAAGCTAAAATGTTGCTAGACACTAACGCTTGTCCACTAGCCTGGAACTGTAGCTAAGATTTGCTACYGGCTTGTGAAAATCAGGAATCACTAGATTATAAAATAATCAATTGAATTTGTAGCTGTTTGGATCACAAATCAGTTGCATCAGTTATCTCAGTATTGAATATGACAGCTAGAAACACGTTCATACCTGTAACAGGAAAACGGGCCCTTAAGGCTATCATGACCATGACCATGTCTATAATCCAATTTATTGTACTCTTATAATATCATTGCTTGAAGAGTTCAAATAACAATGACTACATCAAACCAACAGAGCTGGAAATGAATATTATATTTACCCAGCATAAAATCTGCCATGCATCAAAATAGCACTAAAATAATAAAAAATAATATAAAAATAATAATACTAAAATAATATATAAAAATATGAATAATCATTGTTAATCTTAAAGAATAAATGCAAAGCACAGTTGAGTATAATCATTCTATTAAAAAATATCGTTTTTATGAAGTTCCTCTTCAGTATAAAACTGTAGATCAGTTTCACCACCCTTGACAACAATAGACCGTCTTCTCAAGGTTGCGTGCGCATCCAACTTGACGGCCACAAAATTGAAAAACACAAATTCAGTAAAATTGAGAAGACAGTTTTAAAGAGGAATTAAACAGGAGAATAATCAATTTTATGAATTCTTATCGAAAAAATGTTCATAGCAATGCATGATAATACTCGTGTTCTGGTATCGTGGCCTTCAAGTTCCTTAAATTTGGATGCGCACGCAACCTTGAGAAAACGGTCTACTGTCAAGGACTACTTCTGAGAACAAACGACGGTTGTAAAAAAGGGGAGAGGGGAGCAGGTCACGAAATAAACTTTTAAACCCACTAGCAAAAAAGCTTGCAAAAATTTCAAAGTCACTAGCGATCAGAAGCAGAGAATAACAAGCGTTACTTGATGCGGATTCTGAACTTTTCAGTCCTTCATTTTCTGGACTGTGGTCATACTTGCGAAACTTAGCTAGTTAAATTTATTTATTACTCGCTAAATACTAGATTTCACCCGCATTTTGGGAGTTTGCGAGCGTTAATTTCGTACCCTGGGGAGGTGAACTGGTGTATACAGCTAGCTAGTTAACCTATGTTAACCTTTTTGTAGTTTAATACTATTAAAGTATTATAATAATATTCTTTTTAACTGTAAGTGTTTTGAATGTCATAGCATTGATTAACCAAACTTCGAAGTCCAGAAAAATATTGTAAATTCGTTGGAAAAGCTTTCTGATTAGTATTGACCATTCTTTTAAAAGCAAGCACAACTATTTTAATATTTTAAAAAACTGTTTTAGCATTAATCTACCCAAACTTCTAAGTCCAGAAAAAGTTTTTTAAATTGGTTGGGTTCCCTTAGCTGGAGTGACGTCATGGTCTGATCCACCAATCAAAGATTACCGGATTGTAGTATTTCCTTGTTCGTAATCCCAATGGGCTCCAGTTCATTACTTTTTCTATTCCATGGACTACACCATTAGAAGCAGCCACATCAACCGGGTTCAGCATAATGTTATTTACACTGGCACCTCGTCGCCATGGTAACTTCAGGCGGAGAACGTCACGTGACATAGAGAAGACGACGAAGGAGGAACGGAATTGGGACCAGTAGCTGTATTTGCACTGGAGGCCACAGCTGTAGATGGTGCGGTCGAGCAGATGCGCTTTGAGGAAGTGCGTCGCTTCTTTGGAGTCTTCTTGAAGGAGTTTCAAGATGCTTGGGGATCTCTCTCTCAGTCGTTCAAAGGCTCGGTCCGTGGGAGCAAAGAGAGTGACTGAACCATTGATTTTGGCCAGGATTGGCATTATAGACGTGCTTCTTTGAATGATGCGCGCAAGGATGGAGAACTGGGGCTTACTGTTGATGACGTCATAGATGGTGTTCTTGGCGGGAACGAGGACTTTGCCGATCACGTGGATGACTCCATTGCATGTCTCTAGATTGGCCTTTTCTATGCAAGCATCGTTGGCAGCGTTCACCTGAAAGAACATTAGAGGGATTAAAAGGTTAAGTCCTTGCACAGGCTTGTACATTTTCGAGGAATCAACTTTTAAGGGATTGTCTTTGCTGCGGCAAACACAGCTGCTCCCTAATTCAAAAGACTGGAAATTAAAACAACACTGCGCTTGCGTGCACATCAAATTTACCTTTCCAAACTGGAATGTGTTGAGCCTCACTCTCATACCACTACGTGTCATAACACAGTTATCCCGTCCAAACTCGTAGGTCCAGACTTTCCTGTCGATCATGTGATACATGAGCGCCTTGTCCAGTGCCTGAGGGTTCGCTGTGATTTCCGTTTTGACATCAGAAGGCAAAGCTTCAAATGCTTCGTCTGTTGGTGCGAAAACTGTGTAGTTTTTTTCTCCGTTTCTTAATTCCTCCATCAAAGAGCTTCTTTCCAGAAGGGAGGAAAATTTAGTCAGGTTTAAAGCTTTGACCGCTTCGACCAGTTCCATTGCTGGATGAAATTGAAGGATGTCAAAATTTTAGATTTATTTGAAATATAATTTATTTCGTTTGGAGTCAACGAAAATTCTGAGGTCATGACATAGACTCAGTGGTCGTAAAAGTCAGGTCACGTTAAGAAAGTGGTCGTAATAGTCAAGTGGTATGTGCGTCATAGACAAAGTGGTATTTATAGTTTTCTCTTCATGACATAGACTCAGTGGCCGTAAAAGTCAGGTCACGTTAAGAAAGTGGTCGTAAAAGTCAAGTGGTATGTGTGTCATAGACAAAGTGGTATTTATAGTTTTCTCTTCCTACATACTGACCTGCAATGGACATCAAAAGTTTGTCAATCACTTGGACAATTGCGTCATCAGTCGTGACGTCAGCCGTTATTATATTGGCATCGTTCACTTTGAGAGTTTCGTTGCCCTTGTGTTCCACGTCTAAGAATAAACCATTCATGGACTTTTGGCGAGACGACACCAACAGCTGACTGTATATTGGCTCGTCTAACACGTGGTATTTCAATAGCTTCTGTGAATTAAATTGAGTTTCCGTCACCCGGTTAGATCCAATCACCGCTTGACATCAGTCTAATATGTGGAAGGTCGTGAGTTTTATCCCTGAGCAGACCAACGCAATAGCCTGCAGGTTTGCTGTCAAAATTTTGAAGGTCTTTTCTTATTTCGTAATTGAAAAACAAAAAGAAAATGGTACATTTCAATAACCCAGGAGTTGCGCCTGTCGTTCGTGTCAGTTTTMCCGTGCAAATCCTAATCTTAAGCGCCAATGCGTTTTGATTGTATTTTTCTTTATGAGGTGTACCATCTGATGGCGCGCAGGAGTGTGAACGGTACTAACAACGGTTCCCAGGCATGCAGTATTGTCTAGCTCTATGTCTTCTTTAGTCCCTTGTATCTCGAAAACTGAATTTAAACGTCTCTTCTCACCTGAACACAGTCCTTCTTGCTTAGTAACCTGTTGAGCCTGTCAGCCGGGAGGGCCTGGAAAGCTTTGTCCGTTGGAGCAAACAGTGTGACATTTGTTAGGTCCTCCAAGTCATGGCTGCGCAGCAGGCGAGATAAGATGCTGAATTCCGGTTTACCTAAAAWTTGAACAAAAGTTACCTTGAAACCAGAAATGCGTCAAAAATACCTAAAAATAGAAAAATGGCTTCCTAAAAGGTTCGTTCAAAGCTGCGTGACACTTCTCTTGAACCCGGAAATACGTCACAAACAAACCTTCCAATGAACATGGGATAGGAACGCATTTATGTGCATATCTCCGAGAAATTGTTTCCATTTCGAACGCAATATTTTTCTACTGACTGAGCAAGGCTCACCTTTGAGGTAATCTCTAAGGGTTCCTTGTGTTGGTTGTATGAATTTGTCAATAACATGGACGATACCATTAGACGCTCCTTGGTTGGCATCGATTATCTTGGCTCCCTGGACCACGAAAATCTGGGGGAAGTAAATTTATTTATTCATTTATTAATTTTCTATTAATTGGTTTTTTTTGTTTGATTATCGCATACACAGAACATTTAACAAAAATTGACCCACTTCATACGGACGACGTGCAGGATTCCTTGATTCTCAAATGGCTTTTTGCAAGGAGCATGCAGCGTGTAGCCTACAGTGGAATTTGAAAAAACATCGCGAGACGAGTTGCAGCAATCGTTGTCAAAAGTGAAATTCGTTTCTAGTTTTGGCAAACTGAAGATTGCGTCTCTATTGCAGTGTGTAAACACTTTTGCAACTTGTGTCGCAAAGCTGTTGCGAGATCAGTTGCAGTGAAAAATGCTCCGTGTAATCGCGCCTTAACGTCGAACTCCACATGAGCCCAACCTAGTGACATGAAAGAAAACCGCCTTATTATCCATTGTTTTTTCAATTCGTACGGTTCATGTTAGTTAGACGTTTGACTTTAGTTTTAGAAAAAAGATTATAATACAGACGACCCGGCATTACTGCGTCTGTAGATTATACAATCCCGTCCACAAATCTCAAAAGGTAATCGAAAACTAACTTTCCTATCGTTGCATCTATTGACTCTCATTTTATGAGGGGCATCCATTGTCTTGAGTAGCTCATTATTCTTCAGTTGATCAGTGACTAATTTCCCTGGAAGCACGTGAAACAGAAGGGCATCACCAAGTCTGGTAGACTCTCCTTGTAGTTCGTCCAGTGTCTCTTTCGGTATTGCTTCGAATGCTTCATTGCTCGGGATAAAAGCTGTGTAACGGGTATCCTGTGGTATAAGAAAAGAAGATCGAGTGATTGAGGATATGACTGACTTGTGGTCGCGTGAGACTGGGGTATCCCAAAAGCCTTTGCGCAACAAGACTCTCTCTAGTCCCACTCGTCTCAAAAGTGGATAATCGGAATGCCTGTTATTACACGTACTCTCTTTTTCTTTTYTTTTTTTTACATTTTCCTTCCTATATTTTTTAAAATAAAGGTACCGTATATCTTTCTACCCGTTCATAGTAACTTCCACCTGTTCTACGGCAGTAATGACATAAACTTACCAAAATCAGCTCAGAACCGACACCAGACTCCGTCACAAGTTTAACAAACTGATTCAAACCGAGTTTTTTTGCGATGTCAATGATGTTCAACTTGGAAACGTATAGCTCTGAAAACCATGAAAAATTAGGCAGTGAGTAGACTTTCAGCTACACCGGACACTGGAAACATTCCAGTACAACCCTGAGGAAACAGGAAACAGGAAGTATTACCTTTGGGACAGCCAGGCTGTCCTTCGACTCGTGCGAAGGCAGGACAACATTCGTATTTGGTTATGTAATACCTTCTGAACCTAAAATTATATTGGAGTATATATAGATTGTAAAATATTCAAGCAAAATTCAAATTTGTTCCACCATGTTCAATGATAAGGAATTAAACAGAAAGGTTTGAGAGAAAGAAATTCATTGCAATGCACCATCTGCATTTCCAAATACAAGCCTCGGCAAGTTATTGGCTTAGGTAGGGCAGAGTTTATTAACTCTGGGTAGGGTTCGTGTATCTTTGAACGAAAGCCAGGTTCAATATTCAGTAGAGTATCAAAGATGCTTAGTTTCGTTAGGGAAAAGACAAGCAAAAGTAGCCAAATAAAAAAGCTTTCTCAAAAACAGCTTCAGTAACATCGTGCCAGCGGCTGTTTTTTTAAGGAATTTTCGAACCAAACTGGAGCTTCCTCAAAAGATAAGCACGCTGCTTACTCATTTGTTTTCCTATTTTCTTTCTAAATTTTTAGCCTTAATACACTCTTTCCTCGATAGAGAGTTTACTGAAGTTTTTTGAAACAAAAGATAAATCTTTTTGCACTGAAGCTGTACGTTCATCTAATCTTGCTGTTTACTTCGTATTTTCCCCATCTTTTCTAATGACGGAAGGCCGTGCTTAAAGTTCATCGACATGACCTAAAAATAAAATTCTCGTTACATTCAAGAAAATGAATAGCTAAAAGACGTCTCAAAGTTAACGAACTTGTAAAGCTCTTCTCTTACTTGTTTTCTTCTTGTTTACTATATAAATAGCGCAATCAATAACGGATAAAGAGTGTGACGAACGACATGTTCACTTGAACACAAACTAGTTTTCTACCGACCCTTCTAGTCTAAACTTCCAAACAAGCGGAAATGTCCGGCTGTTAGGTCTCACTTCTCCAGTCTCAGTTTTGACGGATATCTTTATTTAGTTTTAAACTGCTAACTTTTAACTGCATTGTGTTTTTGTTGTGACCAACCTCATACTAGTCTCCCTCGCATCCGTTTTTAGTGTCGGTCGTGACGACCGACACTAAAAACGGATGCGAGGGAGACTAACTTCATACCTGCATTTGAGTCTTCGCCGTCCGAACATAGTTCGACATTCACGGGACACCGTAATAGGAACTTTAACTCCACAGACGTTAATCCTGGGGGCGAAAAAATTATTCATTACTCAGTTCAATTCAAGATACCTCCACTATTTGAGAATAATAATATCAAGTCCTTGCTTTGTTTAGCTACGTTTTTATTGAGTGATTTTATTTCGAAAAAGGCAATCACTGAAATAACGTTATCTTTCGTCTTTGCTGTGTCTGTCATCAATCTTTTTTCAGACGTGTGAAGAGAGTATCAAACATGTTTTTAAAAAATAAACACGCTATATGCGTAAAAAAAATTTATTAAATAAAAGAAAAATACCAGAAAATTCTCACAAAGCGGTTGTGAGGGGACTGAAGACGCCATGAAAGAAATGGCAAATTCGATTACAGCGCATGTTTTGGATGCAAAGGATTCGCAGTAAATTTTTTTTGGTCGCTAGATTTTTAGGTTAAGATTCCTCCATCTAATAATAAGCGTGTGTGGATAATTTATCAACTAAACTACAGCATATATGTAGGAGAAAGCGTTACCCGTCTTTTTGTAAAGGTGGCTGTTGAACTTTCTTCGAAACCTCGTCAAGACGATGCGACAGGCGATGTTGTTCATAAACCCAATCTTTCCATACTCTACGCCATCCAAATGGATTCCACCACGTACCAAGTCCACCACCGATACAAAGGAATAAGATAATAAGCACCGCCAATCCTCGAACCAGGGAACAATGAGCCATGTTTTATGAGGATGATCACTTCGTATGGCTATGGCTAGTAAATTTGACTTGGAACACTGCTATTTGATCTGTTTTGGACGTGTATCAAGGAATTTGATACTTGTAGATCTGACTCCATGTATTGAGTTTCATTGTCTCGAGGCACTTCCGAATCTTAATTAGGTCTACAGCTTTTGACAGTGTGGAACAGTAGCTCTGATTGATGAGAAACTTGTGGTATCATATGGGTGTGTACAAAGATCGCACAGAGAAAGGCGAAAAATCTTACCTTATCTTTACCCTGGGTTCCAGAGGGCCGTGTGGGGTTGGGGGTACCTTATCTTCCGAGATCACAAGCAGCACCCAAACAAGGTATATGGGGGTATATAAGGGAATGCAYGAGAGTTATGATGTAGATATGACAATAAATTGTTTCACTCAACGATTTGCTTCAAATCTTGCTGCAGTTGCTTGAACCTTGTTCAGTCTTCTGGCGAAGTTTCAGCGCGATTTGGGGCCGCTTAGAGGGTTTTTTCAAAATTCGCTCTTCTCTACCTTAATAATGGGAAGGCTGGAGACTTGCCACCCGATATCGACCACATCATGCTAGAACTAAATCCCCAAAAATCTCACTCTCTCCCCTCGAACCGCAATAAAAATTCAACATATCAAAGAAAAGATCATTTCTCTATTATTACATGTATTCGAAATGTCATCGCCAAATATTTCCAGAAAAATCCTTGCTTGAAGTCGAGCTTTTTTTCTTCTACAGACAGATCGATGGGGTTCAAATGGCCGTTGGAACGGGTCATGTTACATACTCATTGGCCGAACAAACCAAGGTCATGGAAGGAGGATTTGTTGAATATGACACCACAACATTTTTCTCGTCAATCAGAGTGAAATAAAAGGAGATCAACATCAAAAAATTACAAAACACTGGATTTTCTTATTTATTTCAAGATGTTGTTGCTTCTTTTTGACCGAGAACGAAAATATACCTCTCTCGCACTACTCTGAGTACGAATTGAGGGGTCCAAATTAGGGGTCCAGCGATTGTACCCACCACCCCTAGGGATTGGTTTGATGGGTTTGACTGTAAAGTTCTAACTTAAGCTGGTCCTTGAGTCCCCTAGACAGAAGGATCTAAGCCAAACTTAAGAATCTAAGATTCTCTTGCCAGCCAAAGCCACTGACCGACTCCGAAGGTAGGGAAAATTACATTCCAGTCAAACTAGCCTGCGTTCCGCCGATATAATTTCAATTCCCTCGAAATAACCGGTTATTACCGGCTGAACGCAGGCAAAGTCAAACCAGCTCATGCGTTCCTATCAAGGTTCAAAGGTTCAGTTTATTATACGATACTTCGACTGAAGAAAATTAGCATGAACTAAAACACCATACCTAAAACGTGTTTTGTAAGTTTGATTGTCATCAAGTCTAGGTTGACTATCAGGATTCAGATCGGGATTTAATTCTCTTATTACCAAACAATCACGGTTTAGACAGAAAGCATACACGGTAAGTACATTTGTGTTTTTCTATTTTCTGGTTGGAATTTCTAACGGAGATATATATTACCAGGTTAATAACAAACTGATTTCACTTAAAGGACTAAAGAATCCTTCTATTCTGTACGAAATAGCTTTTTTTGGTTTCAAGCTCGTCTTGGTACTTATGGTTTTAGATCTTTCTCCTGTGCTGCACCTAAGTTGTGGAAGAATTACCTTCTGAAATCCGTTCCTGTAAATCAGCAGATTTTCTTTTTTTCTTTTCTTTTTTTACTTTCCTAAAAAGTAGATTGAACATAGTATTAGTTTATATGTTTATTAGTTTTAACTTATATATTTATTATTAATTGTAATTTATATGATTTTTTTTTCTGGAATTTTCTTATCTATATATATCATTATAAAGAGTAGAGGGATCGAACCCAGGTGTTGAAGTTTGTTGTGAAATGTGTACTTGAGAAAGACTGTTGTTGATGGTGACTGACGCTCAAGTTGTCGAATTCAATTCAACTATAACAAATCCAGCGTTGCGTGACGACCGACACTAAAAACGGATGCGAGGGAGACCACCTTTCAAAGCGTATGCTTGTGCTTTGCGTGACGACACTAATAATGGCTGCTTATGCGATTAGTATGTCAGTACACAGGTAGCCCAAGCTTGGTTTCTGTGGTGTCCTGCTATAAGGAAATGTATGGAGATTCATCAAAAATTTCAATAAAATCATTGAAACGTGAAATAAGGCCTCGAGATTTTACCCGATCATTGAGAAAAAACACTTCTTTTGAACTGCGTGGTTATTTTTTGAATTTAGCCCGTTTTAAGATTTTTCCCCCCACCATTAAGAAATAAGAGAAGGTTGGAAACTCGAGTCCCAAAAGCGAACCATCACGGGTCTTTGAAACCTCGTACGTCTTCAAATTTTCTTTCCAGCGCCAAATTTTAGTAATGACCCTTCTCTCACATCCCTATAGAACCGAGAAAGTCGCATTAGAGATTAATCTTCGCGTCTTTAAGCCATGAAATTTGCCTGTATTCACATACTACCTCGCTTGTTCTGACCCGTACTTGGAGCTCACTGTACACCAGTTCAACGAATTTCTTTCGGCAATCGAAATTTTTGATAAATCTCCATACATTTCCTTATAACAGGACCCCACTGAAACCAAGCTTGGGCTACCTGTGGTCAGTACTTAATCATAAGCGTTGCGGGACTTTATCAAGGCGATCGTATGTGTTATATGTAGCTACTGATCTTTTGCTTGCATTAAAAAAGTTTTTTTTTTTTGCTCTAGAAATGTCGAAGTGTAAACGTCATGGACGACTTCAGCAACAGGATAGTCTGCGGTCATGGTTGGTTTGTTGTACAGCTACCATAAGCGATTCAGTTCATCTAAGCTTATCGCATTGCTTTGCTTTGATACTGCCAATCTTGGTCGAAGAGTTCAACGAGACGAGAGAGAATGCAGGTATTTTTAGCTCAAACCTTCGATATCTTAACATTAGGATTTATTCGTAAGGCACTTCATGTATTGTACAAACATGTGTAGCATCAAATAAATTTATTGGTTGGAATCGTTTGGTGTACCATGATACGACGTTCCTTCCCTTCGACATTAGTAAGAAAACTTTGAAAGAAATGCTACTCAATAGCCCACTTCCGAGATATGCTTCGCTTGTCACGCACAAAGGTTTCAGTATGAGGCTACGTGCTAAATGCTCAGTCATTCGTGACAGGCGGTAAGAATTAATTTAATTTAGCACGTAGCCTCATACTGAAACCTTTGTGCGTGACAAGCGAAGCATATCTCGGAAGTGGGCTATTCATCATCGTCATGATCAAATCTACAGGGTCCGATAGTACGAAGGGTGCATAGCGCCCGGTTATCCCACGGATAAATTCTTATCCAGTCGATTAATTAATTAATGATGGTAATTGAACTGAGTGGAGTGCAATTTGGTCTGAAATCAAACACGCGATTACAAAATTTGCGCGATTTGTAATTGCAAGTTTGATTTCAGACCAAAATTGCACGACACGAAGTTCAATTACCACTTAATCATATCCTTTTTGTAATCATACACAAGAAAAAGACACAATTAAGAGTGCAGAATAATCAGTTTATTGTAGTAGAAGAACTAAATGCCAACAAAAAAAATATCTAAAAAAAATTTTTTTTTCGATTTTTTTGTTTTATTTTATTGTTTAAAAAAATTTTTTTTAGGATGCGATTAGGAGCTCCTAAGGATGCGATTTGGAAATTAATCGCAATCCTTTGGACCAATCAGATTGCAGGATTTGGTAGTGATTACAAAAAGGATATGATTAACCAATTAATTTATCTGACGGAAAGCGCTATTCATCCTTCGTACAACTGGGCCCAGCAAAAAAAAAAAGTTGAATGTCATTGACTTTTTGAAACTGTAAAGCGTTAATGAACTCGCGGATATTAACGCTATAGAAATTATCAGTTATTATTATTATTATTATCATTATTATTATTATCATTATTATCATT